TAAGTTGTGTATTTAAGTTTTCAACAACTTTAATTGTAATTGACATGCAATAACTAGACATAGTTAAAGTGTAAACTTTGATGAGTATTGACATCTACATGGAACACACACACACATACACATACATATATATACATGTGAAACATCCTCAAACTCCAACAGTAAGTATTTCTATGCAAATAGTAAGTATTCACCCCAAGTTTTCTGATAACTTGTTCATTCTTCCTCCCTCCATTTCCATTTGTAAAAAACTACTGAATTTTTGTCATGGTGTGTTGGAAGTTTACACTTCTAGGATTTTGTATAATGGGACCTTGTGATGAATGCCACATGTTGGTTGGATTCTCTCAGTTTATTTTTTGAGATATATTCGTGTTGCCTGCATAAATAATGCATTGCTTTTTTTGCTGAGTAGGACTTTATTTTATGGTTATGTTATGCCACATTTTTGTGCATCCACCCATTTTTAGATAGTCTTTGGATTGTTTGCAATTTTCACTATTAATCATGAGCCTGCTTTGAATTTTTGCCTGCAAATCTTTGCAGGAACTTAATGCTTTGATTTCTCTTGCTGAATTCACAGAATGGGAATGGCTGGAATATGGGCAATGTGTGTTTAAGCTTTAGCAAGTGTTTAAGAAACTTTTTCAGAAAAAGTTTAGGAAAACTTATTGTCACACCATTGTCTGATGTGTTTGAACCATTTTATGTATCTATCATATTAGGAAAGTTCTGATTATTTTATTTTCTCACAAATGTTGAGTATAGTCAATCTCTTCAACTTTAGGTTCTCTGATACTTTGTAGTGATTTTTTTCCTTTTATTTTTAATGTTACTTCTTTTATTATTATCATTTTATGACACAGTTCCAAAGGTCCTGGGATTTCCCTTACTCCCTCCCCAATTGCTTTTATTGTAGATTTATATCATGTATTGAAGCCCAATTCATTGATTCTTCTAATATTTTTATTTTGAAATTTTTTGTCTAGTTTAGGTCCTTTGCAATTAGATATTAATTATGCTATCAACTTGTTGATTACTAATGAAAAATACACTAGAGTTTTAGTTAGTATTGTGTTGCTGAAATTCTCTGGGTAAACACCTTTTGAGAGAATTACTATCTTGCCAATATTGAGCCTTTCAGTCTAGGAACCTGATGCTTCTCTGTTTATCTAGATGTTCTTCAGTTTCTTTAAGCAGTGTTTCACAGTTCTGTTACTTATGCTCCCAAGTTTTTTTCTAGGTGCTACTATTTTCCTGTTGGTTTCCTACTGTTTATTGCTATTACATAAAGTACAATCTTTTTATGTTAAGCTTGTATCTATGTTTAAACTTTATTAAGTTTAATTATTATTTGTGGTAGCTATTTTGTAGACTTTCTACCATCAAATGTTGAAATAGGAGCCACTTCTTTCTGATCTTTTTGCCTTGCATTTCTATTGCATGAACCTTTAATTCAGTGGTTAATGTAGAGACAATGAGAACAACTGCCTTCATTCTAATCACCAAAAGAACAAAATCCACTTTTCCATCATTAAGCATGTCAGTAGCCATAGATTTTTTTTTTACAGGTTTCCTTCATCTGCTGACAGGCATTACCTACTCTTTCCAGCTTGCTCTGAAGTGGTTTCATCAAAAATCCTAAATATATGTCTTCGTAGCCTTTGTAAGCCAGTCTTCCAATTCTGAAACAAGCAACTTTGCCATGATACGTCTATTGTTTGTTACATTGTTAGATTTGATTTAATGACATTTTGTCAAGGTATCTTTGCATCCCTATTCATTGGAGGATATCGGACTCTCTCTCTCTCTCTCTCTCTCTCTCTCTCTCTCTGGCAATAGGTGAATTTCTTTATGAGGTTTTGCTGTTACTATAATGCTGAACTGATAAAACAGTTTCAGCAGTGACTATTTCTCTATTTTCTGAAGAAGGTCCTATGAGATAAGTTATTTTGTGCTTGAGAGCATAATGCATTTAGTAGTGAAACCAGATAACCCTAGGGGATTCCTTTTGTAAAAACCTTTGATTAGTAAAATCACTTTCTTTGCTAGGTATAGGATGATTCAGATTTTCTGTTTATTATATCAACTTTGGTAAGCTATATTTATGTAACTCTTGTGCCACTGACACTGAGGCAGGCGAAGAGGAGGGGTCATGGCCATCAGCAGCGCTTCCTCTCGGCCACTGAGGCTTGAGTTATGAGCACACTTTCTCTCCATGAGCTGGCCTCCCTGAGTCTAGCCTGTCCTTGGGTATGAACACATCCTTATTTTGGAAGGTGCTAGGCCTCTGCATGTCCCTTTCCACCCAAAATAATCATGTGCATCATATGGATGACCAGTATTTACAGAGTAACAGGTAAAACACTGTCTGTTTACGGGCTACCCTGCTAGGCATCCTCCAAGTGTGGTTTCCTATGCTTCTTACAATAACTCTGTAACATGCAGAAATCATCAGCAACTCCACAAGTGAGGCAGGCACATCTTAGCATGAGGATTCCTGAAGGCTGGCCAGGTTCCTTCCCGACAGTGAACAGTGGGACCCTCCAGGACTGTGAGCTGGCTCCCACTTGCAAGGCCAGCTTTGTATTGCTGCCAATGGAGACAGGAAGCAGAAGCCTTTAGACTTTCATTTTCTATTTACAATTAAAGGCTGCTGCTTAGAATCCCATGTTGTGTCATTAAGGGTAAGTACTGTTTGATTTTCATGAACTAAAATTAGCTCACAGCAGGAGTTGTTCATACATGCTAATATGTTCCAGAGGTGGGCTATACTGACTCCACTGTTCTTGGACCCACACGATGGAGCTGGTAAACTTACAGTTTCTCAACTGTTTGTTACCAGATGTTACTGCATTTTTCTTGAGCTATTTCTATCACTTGCTCCTGAATGATATCTGGTTGTTTTTTCAGCCTTGTCACTATTTATTTAATTTGTTATGGGTCTAACTCTATTGTGAATGGTGAAGGACATCAAATATGTGGGGTTGCTATTTTCCAAGAACTACATTGAAGTAATGTTTATGTCATCGTAAGGAAAAAAAACAAATTAAGTTGTCTATATTTAGCCACTTTTTATTTAGGTTAAACTATATAAAACTGACTATATTCAACCAAAATTGCCCTAAAAAATGGCAATTTTGTATATTTCCATCTATGAGTTCCAATATAAATTATTCATTTCTCTTTTACTGGACAGTGGTATACACAATTCCCTCCAAATGACATTTCATCAGAGATATTCTAAGAATTTTTGAAATCTAAATAATTTGCCCATACTATAATTTAACCTGAGAAAATTGCTAAGTTACTGTGAGTTTGCTTACATTTTTCTAGGATCCAAAATCTCCACTGTAAGCTGATATTGTTTTCTTATGAATGATTTGCTTGGGCTCATCTCACGTCTCGTATCTCACGTCTCACATTCTTGATTATCTGACTCCTTTTCTGCTGTGATGTGAGAAAGGTGACACACGCAGCTCATGGGGTTTTCTGTGCCACCTAAACAGACTCTGGCAAAGGAGCTTGAAAGGCACCACCTTAAGGCCGAGGAGGTTTTTCAAGCCCCACAATTGGTAAGCATGGATTGTGCTTTGAGACCCCGGCCAGCTCACAGGTGCAGGATGCGGTATGTATTTTGGCTGACAGCTTTGGTGACTTCCCTGTAGTGACCTGAATGAAAAATCTCAGGCTTCCTAGACCTCTCATTAGGGAAATTAGACCATGAGCATTTATTCAGTGCCTACTGTATGGCAACCACTCTGCTTGTTCTGTGAGGTCAAATCTATGTTGGGTTATAACCAACTCTAGAAGGGTGGGATAATCAGTCTCTATAAATGGAGGCATAGCCCTGTAGGCTTGAGCTCAGTATCAGAACCCTTGATGAACATGGAAGGCGGACTTCAAAGCCATGTGACTGCTTTCCTCACTGTTCTTTCTTCTTTTTCTCCCTACTACTCCCATATCCAGTTCTTTGGACCTTTTGATTCTGTCTGTAAGGAAGCGCCGAAATCTCTTTCCTTTCCATGTCATTCACTGCTGATTCTCTGCCATCATCTCTCCCATGGCCAAGGGCAGTGGCTTCCTAGCAGGCTCACTTCCATCTGTACTCTTCCTCTCTCCTTGGCTCCCAGTTTGCTCCCCACATCTGCACACAGATCTCATCTGACCTTGTCTCTGCAGTGGCCCAGCTGGCTTGCAGGATGTAAATCCCTTTAGAATCTGGCTTTCCAACTCACCTTTCTGGCTGTCTCTTCTGAAGCTCCCAATCCTTGGCTCCCCATTTCGTGTCCGACATACAGCCACCAGACATTTTAGTCACTCCACTTTCTCTCCAGAATCTGTGACCTTTCCAGTCCAGTCAGCAGGTCTCTGTGCTCTGGCCATTCGAGTTGCCTGTAGGCACGTTGTAAAGAAACCCCCAGTTCTCTCCCTGGAAAATTCCTCTTCCTTCAAGGTGCAATTCAAAGGTCGCCGTGCATGAGAGAATCACTCAGACTGCCATGCAATTCAAAGCTCCTCCTCTGTATGTTCACAGGACTTTGTACACATTTTTACTTGAATGGTTTCTGTTAAATGCTTTCTGGTCGTTGCAACGCCTTTCGTCTTTCTAACCTTATAAGGAGCCGCCAGAGGATAAAGATCACGTTTTGTTTACATTTGGATTGCCAGTGTTCCAGAAGGTGCTTGGCACAGGGCTCAGTCAGTGTCCAGTTAACACACGAATGTCCCTGTAGCCTCCCAGGTACCTGGGAGCACATCACACAGGATAGCAGAGTAAAAGCTGCTCTGGGGTAAGGATGCTGAGTTCTGCCTCAGGCTTGTCCACTCACTGGCCTGGTCAGCAGGAACAGCATGGACCTGGGTCTTAGCCCTCCCACTTGTAAATGGACGTAGTACCCTGGCAGGGTTCATGGCCAAATAACTCAAAGGCTCACTCCTGAAAATATCCCTTCTCTCACCCAAAGGAAAGGATCTCCAAAGTCTAATAAAGGAGCGTCATGGCTCATAATTTCAAGCCGGTAGAGGAGTCGTCCATCATCAAGTTCAATGATCAGGACTTCAACTCCTTGCGGGATCAATGTTTACGCAAACACCAGCTATTCAAGGATGACACATTCCCTGCAACAGCGTCTTCCATAGGCCAGAAATTGCTCCAGGAAAAAAACCTGTACAGACTGGAGTGGAAGCGGCCACAGGTGAGTGAACCATGGTGCTTCTCAGCCCCTTGGAGCACCTGCCATGGTGCCCCCACCAATAGGAGGAGGGCCTGATGATGAAATCAGCCAGATTCCTCTGCTCTAGTGCTCTGTGCACTCAGGGGGCTGGGAAGACCCTGTAATAAAACCCAGACCTGGGGGCCCTGGAGTTCTAACCCATTTCTAATGAATTACATCTTTACATTTTGTGAACACATCACTAGGCTAAAATGCCTCAGTGTTCTCATTAGAGAAATGGGAAACCATGGGTATGAATGCTATATTAGTTGGTATATAGATGTAGTAATTGCTCTTCAGGGGTCTCTCCTTCTTTATTCTCTTCAGATGTCAACATCTTTGTCTTTTTCTACATCCCTGTTAGAGTTTTCTTCAAGGGAATATATCATGCTAGTCATTTTTACTTTAGGATGAATTTAAATACTTGCCTTGCTTCTCTTTTATATTCACATGCTTAATCTTGTGAAAACCTGATCACCTATAAAACAGTTTTCACACATCAGCTGTAAAATTAAGGCAATATAGCAGTGCAACATTCAAACCAGCTTCACTCCCACCACTCCAGCAAATGTCCACTAGCTCTGCCTTGCAGCATCAAAAGGCCTGGTGATTCTTCTAGAATGATCTTGATTTTAGGATGTAAAACTCTGTAGGAATTTTCTCAGCAGAGTCTTCATTATCATAATCTCCTCAAGGCTACTGTTGATGCAAAAGATCCAGCTAGGAACCACTGTGTGCGTTCTGATGCCCATCGCTGCTGTTTGTGTTTCTACAAATTGCTGATAGAACCGAGAACAAGGGAAAGCAGCATAGAAGCTGAATCTAATATCAGTTACCATAGCTCCACACTGACTAACTGCCAAGAACACCACTGAGCACATCCAAAACAGCCAGGTGAGGTTAACCCAAAAGAGAGCCTTCCAGTGACAGTTTTGAACTATCTGGGCTATGTCTGTCCAGTTCAGTTCTGCCCATGGGAAGGAAACCTGTAGAGGAAGGATCCCTTGCCCTATGTCCTGACAAATCTGTAGCTGTGGGGGAGGGAAGGATTTATGGAGATGAGTTAGACTCGGGTACTGCTTCAGGGAAGGTGTGTGGCTTTCAGCCTTCTAGTTCCTTCTCATGAACCATCAACAATAAATCTCCAACAAGGACGTCATTCTTCTGACATTCACCTCTCAAGGAGATGTGGGGCAGGAAACTGTTTAGAGAAATTCTGAAGGGTCATTTTCTGCTTTGTTATTTTCAGAAGCTGAGATTCTTTCAGAAAGTGTGCCCATTTTTTTTTTCTCCCAAGGTGTTGAGATGTAGTTGTGAGACTAAGAATAGTGTTGAAGAATTTATAACATTTCTGTTTGGAAAGCTGCTGCCTATCTAATTCTAGCATCATAACTTGTGATAGCTTTGGGGGACAAGAAGAAACTGAGGCAAACAGAAGCAAAATAATTCATGCAGAGTCATGCAAGGAACCCAAAACAGAGGCAGCCAATGCCCACATGTGTTTTTCCTATTACTCTCCTTGCCCAAAAGTTGAATTTTACTAGAAGCTCGTTTCTCAATGTATGTTGCAGTCTTCATCATATGTGATTTGAGTGCTTAAAAGGAAATCTGCTAGGATTTGGATGGGATGAATGAACAAATGAGTCTGAGTCTTTCATTTTAAATGTCATACTTCCTTATATCTAGTATCAAAACTGGCAACATTCACATTTTTGAGTCCTTTTGAGGGCTTTCCATGTGTTCTCTCTCCCTTTAGGCAATTAATTGAGATTCAGCCAGGTGATGAGGCATGCCAAGGAGGTGTGGTTATAGAGGGAAGGGTCCAGGATTGAAATCTGACTCCTAATTCCACTTGGTATATTCTTCCTTACATGAACTTGAGTGCCCAGTCTGGAACTCTGTTAGGATTTGGGTGAATGGAAAAATGAGTGAATGAACACTTCACTTATTGACTTAGTTGTGAGATGCAAATCTCCAGCTCAGGGGTGCAACAAAGAATCCTTGGATTGCCTCCTTTTCTAGGTAGGGTGGCAGAGGGATAAACCAGTTTTCTAAGCCTGTCAACACTTGGATGACCTTGACAGCCATAACTCACAACTGTGATCACAAACAACCCAAAACAGGAGCTGAGGCCAGCCTGATCCAGCCCCTATAGTGATGGCCAAATCTCATAGTGCTTCCTATATGGCAGATCTGCTTTTAGACACTCAGATTTGCTGAATCCTCATAATACCTTGGTGATGAGGTACTATTATTAACCTCATCTTGCACAGAAGAAGCAAAATTAGAGAAGAATCAAACCTGCCTGAAGTTACATCATTCTGCACAGTCCATCTCTCTGTATTCTGTCTTCCTGGTTTTTAGGTGAAAAAGAGTAAGTGTAAAAATGGTATCTGTACAACTTGTGATTATTTTAAGGTATAACTGGGTATTCTACAAAGAACATTGCCTAACACCTTGTTAGTATTTACTAAACATTAACTGTTGCTACTGTGATTAGGATAGTGTCCTAGAGTTACAGGCTCGGGGAGCTGAGGCTGGGCTGTCTCTGTGTGTGCTGATGCTCAGTCATCCTCAGGGTGGAGACTTGCTGAGTCACCCTCAGGGTGGAGACTGAGCCGTTTGCTGGGAGGTCTGCTTCAGTCAGGTTTAGACCCTTACTATGCTGAGTTCACTGCCCTGTAGTGCCCCGCCCTGTTGGCGACAAGAGACTTGCCCAAGCCAGAGCATTCCCGTCTTTCAGCCTTCATTACCTGTTTTCCTTATGGACCATTGCTCAGAAAGTCGGCTTCAGGATGATTTCCATCCCTCTCTGCATTCACTCTTTTTCGATGGTCTGTGGAAAGTGTGGAGCCTGAGGTGGGGAAGGCATAGGCAGCTTAGCACATGGGAGACAGAGGTGCTTGTTTTGTGCCCAGCATGATGCAAAGGATTCATGTGTTACCCCAAACACTTGATGTTGTCTATTGCTTTGAAGTTTGAGATACCCAGCACTTGTTATCACATTAGAACATCTTTCTATTCTTACTTAGCTATATTTTAATTTTACTTAATATTTAATTATTTGTTTGAAGGAATTATAAACAGAGAGATACAGAGAGAGCTTCCATCACTGGCTCACTCCCCAGATGACCATAATGACCACTGGCCCTGGCAAAGTCAGAAACTTCATCTAAGTTTCTCACTTGGGTGGCAGGGACCCAAATAATTGGGTCATCTTCCATTGCTTTTTGCAGGCTATTAACAGTGAGCTGATTGTAAGTGGAGCAGCTGAACCACTAACCAGTACCCCTACAGAATGCCAGCATCATAGGGAGCATAACTCTAGGCCCTAAAATTTTTGGTTTTTTATTTTAACTTTTATCATGTTGGACTATCAGCTATTTAAGCTGTTGCATGTTTATCAGATGCCTTCATAGCATCTTAGGGAAAAATATAAATTTCTTTCCTTGGCCTCATGTCAATATTGCTTTCTGTTGTTCAATGCCTGGATGTGAATTTGTCCTTCCTTTCTGCATTTCTAGAGTAAACTTTATTTTATAGTAGATTGGCTAAACTCTGTGAGGAGTGTGGGGGGGCGGGGTTGTGGCATGTGATGTGATTGGTGTGTGTGTGTGTGTGTGTGTGTGTTCTCAGGTTTGACTTCAAGGCTATTTTGGCTCCTTTAATGACAGCAGAATCTTGTTTAAAACACTATAATTGTAGGGATCAGCGTTACTGCACAGAGAGTTTGGCCAGTGCCTGTGATACTAGCATCCCACATGAGTGCTAGTTTGAGTTCTGCCTGCTCTGCATCCAATCTAGTTCCCTGCTAATATGTCTGGAAAAGCAGCAGAAGATGGCCCAAGTGTAAGCTGCTGCTACCCATGTGGGAGACCTGGGTGGAGTTCTTGGCTCCTGACTTTGACCTGGACCTGCTTTGGCTATTGTGCCCATTTGGAAAGTGAACCAGAAGATGGAAGATTTCTCCCCTCCTCTCCTGTTTTCTCTTCTTCTCTCCCTCTCTCTACATTTTTCTCTTTCCATTTCTCTGAAATTCTGTCTTTCAAATAAAACAAATCCAATCTTAAAAAAACAACTACTGAGACTACAAATGACACTGGAATTCCCTGATATCTGCAGGACAATTGCAGTGTTTTAGAAACTGGTGCAAGGTATTAGCAGATGTTCTTGATAACTTCAAAACACTTGGGACAGGAAATTCGTGTAGGTCTGGGGGCAGCTTGGGTTGGCCCCATCCCACATCAGTGCCAGAGTTCCAATCCTGACCTTGCTCCCCCGTCCAGCTTCTACATATGATGCACCTGGGAGGCGGCAGGTGATGGTTTGAGCAACTCAAAACACTGCCCTGGGTGGTCTTGAATCAGTTCCTGCCCCATGACTTCAGCCTGGCCAATCTGGGTTTTCAGAAGGTGAACCAGAGGAAAGGAATTATGTCTCTTTGGTTTTCACATGAAATAAATAATTTCAAATTAAGAAGCATAAAATGTTACCCCAAGATGATTGATATTTTCACTTGACTTAGTAAGTTGAGTCATTTTTTTTGTCAGAAAATCATCAATGTTTTTCAAGTAGCTTAGCATAAGATTTTATATCATGTTTTTATGTTTTAAAAAATATTTGTTTGTAAGTGATTTCCTAGATGCTGATTCACTCACTGAGTGCCCTCCAGGATGGGCTGGGCCAGGCTGAAGCCAGGAGCTGGGGGCTCCATCTGGATCTCTCACATGGGCAGTGAAACAGAATTATCCCTAAAACTGGTGAGAGGAATTTTTTTTGTGTGTGTTTTGTTTTAGTTTTAAAGGAATTGTTATATAACTCCCAAAACTGAGTCTGCCTGCCCAATACATAGCAAGCCAGTTATTGTGGTCCTGGATTGTAGAAAAATGTAGATGTTCATTGCAAGGTGGGGAACTTGGCAGCTCTCACTTAATTCCTGGGTCCTCTGAAGGGTTAGAGGTGAAGGTTCATACAGACTGAAGTTGGGGCTGAGAGCTGTGCCTTCAGCTCACACCCAGGTCTCGGATGGTCTGTGGTGCTTGTGGCCTGCCACTGATTGTTTGGCCAGCAACAACTTTGCTCTCTGAGGGGCTCTGCTGGTTGCAAAGAGGACTCCAGTCAGTCTGGAGACTGTCAAGGGGTGATTTTTGCTCAGGGCCTGGAATTTCTGGGGAAAAAAGAAGCCCCTCAAGGCTAGTTGTAGCATCCAGATGTCAATTAGAGGGAAGATCTGTGACCTCCCGTGGCCAGCAAGCTGGGAACTAGCAAGGCTAGCTACACTACTCCCTCCCTGAGGTGAGCCAGTTTTTAGTAAAACATTGATGTGTGCTCATAAAAAGCTGGGCAAGGAAACCTTAAGATAAGAGAGGGGACGGGAAGACCAAGGGAGACAGGACCTCTTGACGTCTAGCATCTGTCCCAGGAGCTGTCTCTCAGTGCAGGATGCTGACCACTCCAGCCATCGCCTGCTGCCTCTAGCATCTCCATCAGCAGGAAGCTGGAGTTGGGAGCAGAGCGGAGTGTCAAACCCAGGGATTCTGATGTAGGGAAGCAGATGTCTGAACCACTGAGTCTATCAAGTTTCTAAATGCCTAAAGTCTCATCTTTCCCTAGGATTTTTAAAATTAGAATTCTTTCATTTCTATAAGGTGAACACATTTTGTGTATTGTCTAATACAGATTGAGGAGCGTTGTGACACTTCCCACTCTACCCACCCTCTTCCCCCTTGATTTCTGTCTCATCTTAGCTCCAGATTTTATCTGGGTCTCCTGTATTTGCCGAAGGGTTGGGTCTAGGTAAACACCTCCCCATCCCAAGTAGAGCAATATGTTGACTTTATCAGTCTTGCCATTTTTCTGGTTTGGTTTATAATTCACTAGTTATGTTTTTATCACTTCCTTCCTCCTGTTTTGTGAAGCTTTCTTGCTCTTTTTCTTTTTCTTGCTTTTTATTTCTCATATTTAAGAGTTGACTGCCTAATTTGTGTTTTTATTCTATCATGTTTAATAATGAATGCATTAGAGGCTCCGGCTTTGCCTATGGGTGTAGCCTTTTTCATTTTGCAGGTATTAGAAGAGAATCAATATTTATTGAACGTGAACTCTGTCAGCTGCTGTGCTGAGCATTGCACTTCCTCCTTCCCGTGCACAGAGGAAGGCCTGGTTCTGCTCAGCTGCTGCTGGCAGCTGCAGGGGATAACCATGGCAGAAAGCACCTGGCCCTTGCTCTGGCTGCTCTAGCATGTGTTTCTGGTACATGTTGAGAAGGCAGGGGAAGCAGTCCCAGTTGAGGATGCCCTCAGCTGGGTGAGGTGTTTGTCCCGGAGTCTACACCTTCAACAGGGAACTGGTGGGAGGGCCTGGAGGGTGCTAGACAACACAAGACTATATACCTGGTAGCTGTTGAGCAAAGGAATCCGATTCCACTTTACAGTCCTGTTCTCCACGAACTGACTTGTCTGTGTGGAAAGAAATGATACAGGAACAAGCACCAAACTATGCAACTTGGGTCAAAGCAATCCAGGGAAGTTTTACTAAGGGGTGACTGAGAATGGTACTGTGGGGCTCCCAGTGGTAGACCAACCTAGAGGCTTGGCTGTTGCTGGGACACGAAGCTGAGCCATGACATAATGTGCTCTGGAAGTGCATGGGGATCCCCTGCAGAAATTCTTCCTTCTTCTCTAAGTTCCCCAAATTCTCCCAGACACTGCTGCTCTTGGAACTCCTCTAGTACCCTCCCTTCTGTAGCTGGCAGCTGCTTTGTGTGTTGGAGGTCAGTGGAAGCAGAGCACTCAGGGAGAAAAGGGTCTGGGGCCTTCCAGTCTCGGGCACTAGGGGAGTGGGCAAAGAACTGAGTAATGCATACTCTGTGTCCCATGTGGCATCAATCTGGACTTGAACCTGGAAGCCAGAATGCCTAAGCCTTGGTATGAAAAGCTCTGGAACTTTATTATTCTTTAGCAAATTCTCCTATAATAAATGTGTCCTAATCGTTTGTGTTCATTTATAACCTGTTAATTAAACACTGGTTTGTTGAGGCTAGAAAGACTTTGTACCTTATGAATCTTGAATCTTCATTTAATGTTACCCTGATGCAATTTGTCAAGCATTATCACCTTTGACTGTTGCCTTCTTGATAACAATAAAAGCTGGAGGACTAACGGAAGGCTCCAAACTCCAATTTTGGTAAGAACCTGCCTATTATAAGCAAAGGCAGAGTGAATGGTGGGTAAGGAAGCGCACTTGGACATAAGGAGTGAAAGATGTTGTAACATTTCTTCCTCTTTCCTAAGGATTTGCCAGCAGGCCGCCCTCACTTCATCCTGGAAGGTGTGAGCAGGTTTGACATCAATCAAGGAGGAGCAGGTAAGAACTTGACATCTTCCCTGAGATTACACCCAGGACATCACTGTGTCTTGGACCAAGTTGATAGATACCTCGCCATACAACAGCCTGTATCCTCCCTGTTGGGGCATCACCTACCTGGACAAAGCATCTCTCTGTGGGCATGTCTGTGGCATGAAAAATCAAGGGAAGGATCGATTGCACTGAAAGTGAGGGACGGAGGTCTCAGGGGAGGGGAGGAGCACACCCCAAAGGGTCACAGTGACACCCAGTGGGGAACTCAGGACCACACAGACCCCATCAGGGGTGCAGTGGGAGCTCTGGTGAGGTTTCAGGGTACCCATCATGCACAGGGGCTGAGCCGACGACAGTAGCAGACAGAAACCCAAAATGCTTATTGAAATTGTATGAAACAGTTTTGCCCCTGTGTTGGGAACCAAATTCACTATAACATAAGCTCTAGGCACCTGTGCCAAAAGAGAATCAGGATTCAGGTGACTTAGCTTTTCCACCATCTTGACTGGCCACATCATCTCCCACTGTCAGCTACCACCACAGCCATGAAAACCACCATTCTTGCTCTTGAAACAAACAAAAATAAAGGTCTGTTTGTTTGTTTTTTAAGTTGGAAAGGCAGATTTACAGAGAGAAGGAAATACAGAAAGTTCCTCTATCTTCTGGTTCACTCCCCAGATGACCACAATAACCAGAGTTGAGCAGATCTGAAGCCAGGAGCCAGGAGCTCTCCCATGGGCTCTCCTATGCAGGTGCAGGATCCCAAGGCTTTGGGCCATCCTCCACTGCTTTCCCAGTCCACAAGCAGGGAGCTTGATGAAAGTGGAACAGCTGGGACACAGACCAGCACCCATATGGGATCCTGGTGCTTGGAGATAGAGAATCAGCCAGACATTGTACTAGGTCCTCATTCTCTGTCTTAACTGGACCCGTGAATCCTTAGCCCAGTTATCTTCTTCCAGAAAGATAATCCTCATAACAATTTGAATGTGCCTAATATAAAACTCCAGAATTTAAAATTAAAACTATTCCTAAATTGGAAGGCTTCAAGTGCTGGCATGATGCCCCCAAGTGGAAAATTCCACACCTGACTTTATGTAAGAAATTATAATAAAATACAGGTGTTTGTGGGCTGGGGCAATGGAATAAAAATTAATCCTTGGCCTGCTTCACCACCTTCCCATGTGTATGCCAGTTCTAGTACTGGCTGTTCCACTTCAAATGCAGTTCCCTACTTATGGCTTAGAAAAGCGGCAAGAATGGCCCAAGTTAGGGACCCTACACCCATGTGGGAGATCCAGAAGAAACTCCTGGCCCTGAGCTTTGGACTGACCCCATCTCTGGGCATTGTGGCTATTTAGGGAGTGAACCAGCAAATGGAAAGTCTTTCAATCTCTTTCTCTTTCTCTCTCTCTGAAACTCTTCCAAGCAAAATAAAATTACTCTCAAAGAAAAAAAGAATTGACTAATACCGATGTACTGCATATATATGCACCGATTTTACTGCATAAAATCACTTTCTGGTTGTGTGTTTGAGGTGCATAGGAATTCCATGTTTAGATTTTAGGCCCATCCCTGAAATATTTTATTTGGGACATGCAAATGTTCAGGCATCTCAGATACAGGATTCAGCCTATAGTGTATGTGGACCCTGGAGATAATGACCTGTGAAATCTTGGGGTGGGGTTCCTCGGGGTATCCAGGTGGTTCCTCATGGCTTTACCCCCTTCCAGGAGACTGCTGGTTCCTGGCAGCACTGGGCTCCTTGACCCAGAACCCGGCAAGTCTACAGAAGATCATGCCGGTCCAGAGCTTCTCTCATCAGTACGCAGGGATTTTCTGCTTCCGGGTATGTTTTGCCACTCCTTACCAGACTAAGTTCCCTGCAAGTGCAGGGAGGTTACTAGAGTCTACATGAGTCTTTGGACCTGGCAGCCTGAGACAGGAGATGGGAAGTCCTGTGTCCAAACAGGCCTGAAGCTCAGGATCTGACAGCACCTGGGAAACCTGAGAGTTACAGGGTATTTGTGCAAATAAAGAGAAGCAGCAGAAATAATGAGTACCAAAAAAGAGTTGTTGACCAGGAGCCCTCTCTCTGTCACCGAGCATCCAGTCCCAAACCTATTTCTGTATCAACGTGGGCCATGTTGGTTACAGGAGCTGGATACAAAACAGCAGCAGCTGGCGGACAAAGTTCCCCTTCCTTATTCATTATTCTCAAAAAGGCCTTCCCAATACTTGCACATTTACTCTTCCTTGAGATTAAAATAAGAAAATCTTCTGTCTAATTAAAAAGAGACATTATAATGATGCAGAACAGAGCAGCACTAAATGTATGTATTAATTTGGAAAAAATACTGTTTTGTTATTTTAATTATTCTTTTGCAGAAATATAGTCTATCTTCATATGTATTTAAAAAAAAAAGAAAAAGCTAGTTTTCTACATTTCTATAAAATGTTAGTTTTCATCTGGGTACTTTGCCCTTCCTGGTAGATTCTCAAATGTTTTGCAGTTTTGCATCTAATGTGAATGAGGCTTTATTCTCGTTTCTAGCTAGATATTGCGACTTACATATTTCACTCTATCCAACCACATTCCTTTTTTTTATTCTCATTTTATTAAGCTGCTTGTGGATTTAGTTAATATCTGTAATTAATGATAATTCTGTCTCATGTTAGTATATGTAGAGCCTATTTTATGCCTTTGCCTAGCATGTGGGTTGGAACCTCACTACTCTGAGTGACAGGGGCGACATGTTGCCTTTTCTGGCTTTCAGTAACGTTCTTTATTGATAGTCTGTTGTCTCCACACACTGGAACATTCCATGCACTGAAAGCTCTGTTAGAGTTTTTACCCATATCATGCGTGAAATTGGTTTCTCGCTGAATGCTATTTTTATCATCCTTGAGTTTTGCCCATTTTAAGAAATAAACTGATTGTACATTACTTTTTTTATTTGAAAAAATTTGAATAATGCTTGCTAATCCATGATTATCTGCTCTTTGAAAAACAAATTGTCCATTGTTAAAGGCCTACCTCCTTTGACATTAGATGCACATGTTAGCTATGGATCTGCCCGAGTCTCTCATTTCTACTGGGGTTAGTTCCTGGAATTCCAACTTTACCAGGATAATCATCCATTTCTTCTGTGTTTCTAAATGTGTTGCCATAGAGTTGCACATCTGATTTTCAGAGAGTTCATTTTGTCTTGTAATCTATGGCTATACCTGCATTCTTTTAAAAAAAAAAAAAAAAGATTTATTTATTTTTATTGGAAAGTCAGATATACAGAGAGGAGGAGAGACAGAGAGGAAGATCTTCTGTCCAATGATTCACTCCCCAAGCAGCTGCAACGGCCGGTGCCATGCTTATCCGAAGCCAGGAGCCAAGAGCTCTTCCGGGTCTCCCACACAGGTGCAGGGTCCCAAGACTTTGGGCTGTCCTCAACTGCTTTCCCAGCAAACAAGCAGGGAGCTGGATGGGAAGCAGGTCTGCCGGGATTAAGACCGGCGCCCATTGGGATCCTGGCACATTTAAGGGGAGGACTTTAGCCGCTAGGCCAGTGCACCAGGCCCCATATCTGCATTCTTAATCACAGTGTTACATTATTTTTTTCTCCAGTTTTTCTTGATTCATCCAATCTGTAGAACTAATGTGTTCAAACAAATTAGCTTTGGGTTTTCATTTTTCTAATTTTTGAATTTTTTCTTAATTCTAGTTTTATTTTTATTACATCTTTTACTTCTTGTTTAATTTCCTTGCTTTGTCTGAAATTACACATTAAATGCCTTTGTCTTTTTTTTTAGTAACATAAGGCTTATAATTTTTCTCTGAAATTGATCTGTACCCATAAGTTTCAATATAAATGAATTACTTCTATTAACGCTGACATCGTGTTCTTAGTTTCAATTTTTTTCTTTTGCATAGCAGTTGTTTCTTTAGCGTTTATTTCATTTTCAAGTGATTAAGTTGTTCAGAGGGTAATATTCTGCCTGCCGAGTTTTCATTTTATTAAATTATGGTCAGAGAATATAATTTATAAGATGTCTACATTTGCAGAAATTATCAAATTATTTTTTTTATCTATGGCCACATCCAGAATAGTTTCTGTAAGTAGTTCATGGTTACACAAGAGGATATATATTACCTGGTATTCAGTAAATTTTTTTATATTGAATCAAGCTTTCTATTGAATCAAGCTTCTATGGAATCAAGCTTCTATTGAATCACCTGCCTTGCAGGTGGTGTAACCTGCCATTGTTGGTTTTGGCTCCACTTCATTTGCCTGCTTGACTTGACAAGCTCTGAAATCTCCTTGTGGTTTTTGCTTGGCGGTCACTGAGGTCGCCAGCCCTTCCGCCTGACCACTGTCCCTATGGTCTGCTCCGCTGGGCCAAAGGGTGTGACCTCATTGTCTTCTTGTAGGAAAGAACTTGCATAACATCCCGATTTGTTACGCTCACATTGCTTTTGGTCATGAATTTCTCTTCTGAGTGTATTTTGGTAATTTGTCTCCATACTTCCCCGTAACATCCTTGCCTGTCCCTTTACTGTTTAACACCATTTTCCTGGGGTGATAAGTATGTCTCTGATATATTATTACATTAAAACACATTGAAATTTAATCAGTTGCCATGGTTTCTACCCTTTTCTCTTTATCATAACATTTTTCTTATAATCTCCATGGGAAGCAAGTCCTTCAATCAATTCCTCAGACAACAGAGAATTTTTTTTTTATCAACTCACCCCTGAGAACAGTATTTGTTAGGTTTACCTTCTGGGATCCCGGTCCTTGTGCTTGAGATCCACAAGCACCGTCCTGTTGTCTTTCAGCAAATAATGGCACAGAAGAGAAATCTAGTGTTATTCTGCTCGCTCCTGACTTTACAGCATAACTTTCCTAACTACAGACTCTGTCCGGACCTAACCCTCCTCTCCCAGAGCCGTGAACAAGGAACGGTAGCTCAGGGGCCTCATTCTTGACCACCATGCAAACCAACTGCATCCTATCTGGGAATGGCAATTTTACCTGGTGCTCTCTTTGTATAAAGAGAACAAGCCTGGGCCTGGCGCACTGGCCTAGCAGCTAAAGTCCTCCCTTTGAACGTGCCAGGATCCCATATGGGCACCGGTCTTAATCCCAGCAGACCCGCTTCCCATCCAGCTCCCTGCTTGTTTGCTGGGAAAGCAGTCGAGAACAGCCCAAAGCCTTGGGACCCTGCACCTGCGTGGGGACCTGGAAGAGCTCTTGGCTCCTGGCTTCGGATAGGCATGGCACCGGCCTTTGCAACCACTTGGGGAGTGAATCATTGGACAGAAGATCTTCCTCTCTGTCTCTCCTCCTCTCTGTATATCTGACTTTCCAATAAAAATAAGTAAATGATAAAAGAGAGAGAGAGCAAGCTGGTCAGCATTTTCAAGGAGAAAATCAGAAGTGAGGAAAGCTCTGGAAGTAAACCACCTGAGGTTCTTTCAAGTGACAACGTTCTCCCTATGACTCGTTCTGTCCCTCTTCACCTCACTTCTGTATGTGTGCATATATAATGTATATATTTCATATATACAAAATTCTATGTGATATGTGTTTTATATGTGTATATAATATATATTACATATATATTTTAGGATTTATTGTATGCTTATTGGAAAGTCAGATATACAGAGAGGAGGAGAAACTCAAAGTTCCTCTGTCCAATGATTCACTCCCCAAGTGACCACAATGCCCGGGGCTGTGCTGCTCCAAAGTCAGGAGCCCAGAGCCTCTTCCAGGTCTCCCATGGGGGTACAGGCTCCCAAGGACCTGGACCATCCTCCACTGCTTTCCCACGCCACAAGCATGGAGCTGTACAGGAAGCAGGGCATCCAGGATTAAAACTTGTGCCCATATAAGATCCCGGCACATGGAAGGTGAGGACTTTGGCTGCTAGGCTAGTGCACTGGGCCCTGTGTGTATATTTTGAATTTACTCAACGTTCCTTGAATATATTCCACTAGAATGGCATACCATTTTCCTACATAAAACATCATAATTTCTCATTACTAAACAGAAATCCAATAAGTAAGTTTATAGTAAAAGGGCTTCACAATCCAGCACCACGTCCAGATGGTTTTTCTCGTCCCCCACTCAGTGGGAGTTGTGATCACACTTTCTGGTTGCTCCCATGTGTTTGATGATCTCCCTCTAATAAAGTCCCCAAGACCTCAGCCTCCCTTCACCTACCCACCTGCCTGCGCACGGCCATGGGAACAGGAATCCACAGCTGTGCTGTTAACTTGGTGCCTGGGCTAGGCAATGACCATGAGGCTACCTCCTTGGGCTCTATCTCTCCTGACGTCCCTGGCTCAGTCTCCATCTCTTGGTCTGCAGCCAGACATGACATCCTGTCCTCTGGGACATGCAGCTGAGGTGAAGGCCATGGGGCTGCGAGGCCACGTCTGCCCAGGACTCTGTGGGGCCCATCTGGCAGAGCTCCTTTTAGGAGCTTCCATCCTGAAGCCAGCACAGAAGATGCCAGCCCAGCAGCAGAACCCAAAAGGCTATTTTGTTATGCATTCCCTTCCCTTCAGAGCTGCACATTGAAGTGGAAAAACAGCCTGCTTCGGAGAGGAACATCTGGTTCATTTGTGTTCTTGGTGGTGGCCATGCCAGCTAACTTTGTTTCTCAGTGGTGACAACAGAGCCAGCATGAGAATGGAGCCCCAGAGGGAGGCTGTGGCTCTGATTGCTCCTAAGCTATTCGCATCCTTGTGCCTCTAGGCCTGTGCCCACATGGTCTCCGCTGTCTGGCGTGTCTTCCCTGAGCTGCTCACCACCTGCTTAAACTCCACCTCCTCCCCAATCCTTCAATTCCTCATTGCAATCCTGCAATCCCCTCTCCTCTGTAATTGGTATGCATATTGCCCACCCCAGGCCCTTGATGCAGCAGGAGGGCCTGCACAGTCAAAAGTGTGTCTTGGCGCCCACATGAGGCCACAATATGTACAAAGTTAAAGTAGAAACCAAGTCTCTTCGTACATGTCTGTACTTTGACAAACCTCGGCCTGGGACTCAGTGTCTCCATCTACCAAAGATGATGCAGGCCTGTCTTCTGCCCGTTTTCTGCCCCACAAGCTGGGTGGCACTTTCTTCTGGATGGAATTAGTGTAACCATGGTGATCTTTGGCTTGAGTGAGGGGGATTCTAGAGTTGTGGGCTGCACCCCTGCTTCCCGTACCCCTCGCACACTGAAGCATCTGCCTTTCTCTCTCTCCAGTTCTGGCAGTGTGGCTACTGGGTGGAAGTGGTGGTGGATGACCGCCTGCCTGTTGTAGACGATGTCTGCATCTTTGTGAAACCTCGCCAAGGCAACCAAGAGTTCTGGCCCTGCCTGCTGGAGAAAGCCTATGCCAAGTAAGTATGGCATCTTCAGCCCAGACTTGCCATGCTTGCTCCTCCAGCCCAGCAGCTTGCCCCGATGGGTGCTCACTTGCAGGTCACTGTAAGTAAGCAGTGCCCCTTGGCAGCATCTGAGCCTTTGCTGCCTTGGCTGAGCATCCTCTGTAAGCAACCACCATGTACAAGGGACAGTGTCAGGGCCACTGGGAAGGGTCAGAAGCACCAAGTAAAAAGGGGAGCTCTGTGATGATGTAAATGCAAAGGCAGTGTTACTGCCCGACTGATGTGAGACTCTCAGTGAAAAACCAATGGAATTCATGCATGCTCGATATTTGAGAGGCATGGAAAGAATCTTCAGGGATTAAGTTGCCTGTATAAGTATAACCCGTAACTCCTCCCTTAAACCCTGATCAGCCCTGAGTTATTTAGAATGCTTATGGCTGCACTGAGATTATATTTATGCCATAACGTCAATGACCATTCCCAAATGATCAGCCCCCAGTGGTGCTTCAGCCACCGCCTGCTCGTGTGGACTAGCTCCAGGATTTAGAAGCACCCCAGCTTTTGTATACTGCTTAGACTTCCATGGGTTTCTTGTAGCAACAGTTGTTTCCTGGGTGTTTAGTCATGGCGGGCACCAAGCATGGCACTGGGATAAACACTCCCAGGCTGGTGCAAGACAATGTGTGTTCATGCATACACTTCTGTGTGTGCATTCACATGCATGTTGGGGTGGGTGGAAAATAGCACACAGGTGATAAGGAGGTGCTCCACCTTTCCATAATCAGAAAAGGCAGATGAAAAGCGGAACCGAACATCCCCATCACCCACCCCATCAGGCTGTAGAAGTTACTAAGCTAGATAAGGCCAGAATTCAGGGTCAGGAAATCCCACATGGTGCCAGATAAGTGACAAGCACATCTCACACCCAGAAAGGACACTCCTAGAGGGGTCTAAAGGGACGTGTCCCAGGGCACTCTGGACAATGCTATTCAGAAGTCACGGGTCCACCCTGTGTGTGGCCACCCAGATTATCCTCAGAAGCCCAGGACTGAGCTAATGAGGCAACAGCATGGAGCTACCCCATGGTCCTTCCCTTCAGCCCCTCCAGCTTTGGCTTCTGCTCAATATGGAATTCCAGTACCAGCCAGTGGGGCTGACTGGGGAAGCCCAGGTCAGAAGCTCCTGGGGTCCAGTGATCTGTGGCCAGGGTCAAGAGGCTATGGAGGCAGTGACCTGTGGGAGAGGAAGTGAAGGGCAGTGGAGGACACACAAGGGTAGAGAAGCCCCGGCTCATGGCCATACTGAGTCACGGCCATATTTAGAGTCATACCTGTGGGAAGACAGAAGTTTCCAGAAATCTCATTTCCAGCCCCTGTTGTACAAGGGAATGCTGAATCTCTGGACAGTGGGTGTGGACAGTGAGCCTGAGACAACCAGAGCCTCTGGCCACCTGGCACGGGACATCACTGAGGAGGCATGCAGCCTGGTGGAAACAGCCCCGGGGCCCTGTGGGAGGGCAATGGTACCACTCTCCATTGCTGTCCTTGTCCTTCTGTAAGTCACAACATCAAGAGCAAGGGACCTCAAGGCTTTCCCTGGGGTTTTATTTTTCCCCCCAGTGAGCCAACTCAAGAGACCCTCAAGTTCATGGTCATTGCCAGTGTCAGGAAGAGCTGTTCATTAGGCTGTAAGAATGAGGCCCAGAGAACAGCCAAGGTCCCCAAATTCCTGCACCTTTTGGGGGAGGTTAATTCATTTCAAAGTGACTGACACAGACAGGGTCATCATCTTACCAGTGTGGATTCAGCCTGTATCACTCCAGGGTCCTGATTTTTTGCTTTTGTTTGTTTGTTTTCCTTATGGAAGGGGGTAGCATGGTGGAAAGGATGACTTTGACCGCATTTTGTCAACAACAGACCTAAAACAATCATTGAGCTTGAAAAGAAGCCAGAGGGTGGGCCCAGAATCTGCATGCCCCAGCCTCCAGGCTTCTAGCAAGGGGGCCGAAGCCTCATAGATGCTTAAAGCGTCCTGAATGCTCTCCTTGTCCACAGTCCACCAGGAGAAGGGGCTGTTCCCAGTGGAGCCTGTGAGAGCCTTCCAGAACCTGAGGGCTCCCCAATGGTCTGGAACCTTCCCTTCCTCTCAAAGCCTAGGACTTTGAGGCTTAGAGAAGCGAAACAAGACACCAGAGGTCACCCAGTGTTTGTGGCCGAGCTGGTCACATGCTTTTGCACCATTCCTCCTTCTATTGGTTCTAGAGAAAGGGCAGTTTGTTTGCCTCCTTTGGGCATCAGTGTCTGGCACACGGGAAGCCAGTGTAGGCGTGTAGAGCAATACAATCAGCAACACCTGAACCCCACCTGCTCCATCGTCCTGCAGACCCGGGAGGTAAAGAAATGAATCGGTCTACTTTGGTGGATATGGGGGCACAGAAAAACTTGTTTGGGAATTTTTATTTTCTGCACCCTGAGGTTGTAAAATCGGGATGCAAGAAGGCAAGGATGGGACCTGGCAGACAGCAAGCAGCTTGGAAAATCTTCAGAGCAAGATTCACCCCCCTCTACCCCGTACTCAGCCCCACCCCTCTGTGCCTCCCTTTCCCTTACCTTCCCATCACTGCTGGGCACACAAGAGCCAGTCAGGGGATGAAGACAAGTTACTCTTGGGCAGCTGACAAGGGATAGTGACTGCTGTGGCAAGCACTGCTCCTTGTGGTGTGCATGCCCAGGATGCCAAGGGCAAGCAGGGGCTGCTGGGCCTGCAGCGCCTGCAGCATCAGCAGGACTGAGTGTTCACGCCAGAAAGCAGAGGAGTGCACCTTGTCAGCATGCCCAGCTGCTGCTGTGATGGGCGTGGGGGGCACTGAGGATAGGCTGGGGGGGGGTCCTTCCTATTGTCTGGGGTCTCTGTAGTGCCTGCAGGATGGTACGGGTGCAGGATGCCAGGCAAGGCCCAGAGACTGTCTAGAGACAGAGCCCACGGTTACCTTTCCAGAGTATCTCTGGCACTGCTATGTTTGAGCCCAGGCAAGTTTCCTTGTGTATCTCCACGAAGGGGCTAACCCAGTAAGCAGAAGTTTCCAGAACCTCAGAGCAGGAAGTCACAGGTGCTCAGTGTGATAACCGCCATATTTATTCAGTGTTTGGTATGCACAATGCTGAGCAAACCCCATGAGGGCTGGTTACTCACCAAAGATCAAGCAGCTAAGACTGTGATGAGACTGCAATTCCACCACTAGCCTGTGGCCCCAGCGCCTGCACTCCCCACCTCCACACAGCACTACCTTTCTGGACAGTGTCAAGTGCCAGAAGGCCAAAAAAGCAACAGGAGAGGACAATGCCAGCCCTGGCATGGGCAGCAGATTGCCAGTCTCCAGCCGGGTGATTGGCAGGGGGTAGCAGTGGTGAGAGTGGTACTGGCAGCTCCTCGCTGGGGAGGAGATCCTCAAAGAGGCTGAGGCAGTTACTCTGACTTCCCCCTCCCAGGCTGCGTGGCTCCTATTCCCACCTGCACTACGGCTACCTCCCTGATGCCCTGGTGGATCTAACAGGAGGGGTGGTCACCACGGTCAACATGTACTCCTCCCCTTCGGACCTGATGATGGCAGTGAAGATGGCAGCCAAGGCAGGCTCCCTGATAACCTGCGCCACACCAAATGTGGTGAGTTGGTCTGTGCACCATGCAGGCCGTTCCTCACCCAAGGGTGTCTAGCCAGTGGCCCAAAGCCAGGGGAGTGCAGACAAGCACTCTGGGTATGATTTCCTGAGAAATCATGGCTCATAGAGGCTAACTCAGGTGCTCACTGTCACATAGCCCATAAGTGGCTGACTGGGGAGTCCCATACTGTTGACTCCAAACCTAATACCTCCTTCGTCATGACTAGGAGCATCAAGTCCCACGTGACCGTGGGGGGCATTACCATCTGCTGGAGAAGGTGGCTGAATTGCTACTCCTGCTGTGGGTGACTGCTTTGGATTTTGCCTTGAGTTTCCATGGAAGGGCTCTTGGATTCCTGCTTATTCCTAAGGCAGAGCCAGAGTAGGGCCTCTGCATTATTTGGGTCTGTCTGAGATACCTGGCTCCCAGTATCCAGGGACCCTTCCCATATTCCTGAAACATAATCTCAAATGTCACCAGAAACCAAGGATGTACTCAGAATCCAATTACTGACAGCATGAGGTGCTGTGGGGTAGTGGCAGGGAGAAAGGGAATGGATTCCTGGGCCCTATTAAGGGCCCAGCAGGCACACTCCAGGCTGTGCCTTCTTGGTGGTAAGTGACAGACCTGGCAAGCAGCTCAGAGCCTTGGATCTCCATGGGATTCCTTCAGTCATGGATGGTTTCCTGAGGCTGGAACTCCCTGAAACCACCACCCCACAATGGCCTGTCCAAGCCTTCCCCCAGTGAGCTGGGGAGGGGAGGACCTCTCTGAACTGTGTGAACTGTGTGTTTGTGTCGATGACCGGCCTCCTGACAGTCAGTTCTGCTTTCTCTCCTGCAGCCAACAGGGAAGGCCGAGCAAATGGAGAACGGGTTGGTTAGCCAGCACGCCTACACAGTGACTGGGGCTGAGCAGGTAAGACAGGCACAGAGGTCAGCACATAGCTGACCTGAGTGTCATTCACACCCCTGTGGTGGTGCTCACCACAGCCAGCAAGAAAGAGCTCCCTCTCCCCTTAACCTCAGGCTGGAAGAGACCCTGATGCTGGAGTAACCAGAATTCCCCCTCCTTTAGCTGTGTAACATTTCCTTTGCTCTTCCAAAGAGTCTCCCTGAAATCTCACTACTTGGGAGCAGCCAATGCCACATCACCCCTGGCCAATTATAGCCACTCCTCTCCCCGCATCTCCCCTGTCCCACGCATGGACAGGTCTAGAGATAGCAAAGAGTTATGTACTGTGCCAATTTTGATGGTTTCTCACAACTGCTTGACTTATGAGGTTGACCGGGCTTTGGCACAGTCTCCAAATTTAAGGAAAGAGAGCTGTGACCAAGAGTGACAGCTGTGCTGAGCAGGGCATGAGGAAGTTCTGGCACCCACACTAGTGATCTGCCACCCTTGGCCAAGACCCTTTTTAACCATTAATACATCCTTGTGTCTCCTCTCAGTTCAGGGGAGAAGGGCTTGTGTAACCAGATTTCCAGGAATCATGGGGCATGAGTTTGTATGGAGGCTGGACAGGGTCTGGTTGTGGTAGCCAGATCATGGAGCAGCAATGGAGATGCCTAGGGGTTGGTGGAGGTGAACTTGGGAGCTAGAGCATCTGTGTGGCTGCAATTTGGGCTCCTGATGATCTCACCTATGGCCTGTGCAGCTTGCAGCACACACACCATGGCTGTTTCTATGACACACTAAGCAATCCAAACAGAACACCTCTACTGGGACATGCATAACCCCTGCTTGGAAAGTCATACAGTATGTTAGCTTCTAAAAGGCTCTGCATCAACCACTCAGTACTGATGGAATTTATTTCTAGGAATCACTATTGAGGGTCAGAAGAACCAATATTTAAAGAGACTATCTCTGAGGAACCACTGGTTTAGATGTAGGGAAGTTGGGCCACCTCTTGTTGCCCAATGAGTGGCATCTTTTCTGGGCGAGCAACCCAGGAATAAGAGTGTGGTCAATAGCCAAGGACAGGAGCAATGAGCCAACCCATTCTCATCTATAGCCATGACCTTGGCCTCAAGTGTGACCCCTGTGCCCCTGGCCAAGGCTCACAAAGACACATAAGGGCCCCAAAGCAAGGAGGTTGGGTGCTGACCCACACATGCTGAGATTAAACCAGCCCGTGAACGCAGTGTGCCTTGGAATCTTCTTGTCCTCTCTCCAGGCAGGACCCAGCCAGGCAGATCAGTGAAGTTGGCATTTTTTTCTTTTATTGTACCTAATTCAGTCAGTGACTCGCTGGGCAAAGAGGTGGCAGTTGATCTGCCTGTCTCATGGAGCTCTGGCCTTGCCCCCTTGACTCTCTGATTACTCTTCTCCCCTGCACTGGCTGAGCCCCTCACTGTATGCCAGCCCTACCACGTGGCTGCTAAGCTCTTTGGGCCACCAGGCAGCTAATTCTCATGTCCCTGTCCCATGGGCTCCATCACACACTGTACTTGGCCTGTACCACTGATGGCCACAGAACCTTCCAATGTACTGCCAGGCAGAGAGGGGAGGCAGGCAAGGATAGCAACCAACAAGCTCTTGAGCTCTTACATGATCGTGCTACTTTTACATAGTAAAGACCTATTGGTCATCCTATTGACTTAGTCTAGTGGCTCCAGCATTATATTCAAGATCACAGTCATGTCTGAGAATGGATCTACTTTTCAACATTAACAACCTAGAGCATGAGAGCAGACAGTACCTGGGATCATAATTCTACCTCTGCTACTTACTTTATGTCTTTGGTAAAGATGCTTACCCTCTCTGATGCTCTTTGCCACCATTGCAAGGAAGGAACAAAGGGTTAACACACACTCATGGGCAGCTGGTCAGAGCCCGGCCTCCACATTCATTGTGTTAGGGGTTTCTTCATCTCCCTGCCCTGGAATCAGAGCAAGAGCTTAGGGCTTCCCCTCACCTCTGCGGGACCTTGTCTCCACAGACATTAACACAAGGCAGGATCATAGCTACAACTCAGTCGCATCCTAATTCCCTCACCAGGATGAGGGCTTCTGGCTCCTAGGACACAGGCTCAGGGTTCTGCTCTGGTTTGAGAGCAATTTCCCATGGTGCTGTCTTCTGGCATGATCAATGTGTGGGAGTAAAAAAGTAATTTCAGCCTCTGAAGTGAGTGAAGATGAAGTGAGTAAAATGAGTGAAGAGTTTCCTCTGAAATGAGTGAAGAGGGTTGCTAAGAAGAACAGTTCAGGTCAAGGTGGGTCACCAGCTGGCAAAAGTGTCTGGTCAGTGCCAGGATACAGAATGAGGAGGACAAGCCTTGGGTGGCATGGCTCTCAGGCTATCCTGCTCTTACTGAAGTCAGCCTCCTCTACCATCCACTGTTATAGAGATGGTGCCAAGGCTCCTAACTGGCCAAGGGCCAGGAAACAGCCATGTCTGTGGAATAGAGATGCTGCCTGTGACAGGGCTTGGCAGAGGCTGTGAACCCATAAAGCTCTCTCCTCTGCAGTCTGAATCAACATCAATGTTGTTTATCTGCTCCTGCATCTCGGCTCACCAGACTTCTGGGTGTAGTCACAGTGGGTGTTGCAGTGGCACCTGCCCTTGCCCAGGGCCAAGCAGAGACAGGGCTGATCTCTGCAGGCACCAGAGACATGATGGCTTGTTGGCTTTCATTTTCCCAGCTCTGGCTGCAGCCAGATGAGGGCTGAAATTGTGCCCCGATTCCCATGGCATTGATGGTGCTGGGCAGCCTTAATTCTTTGCTTCTCTCTTCTTCACAGATTCAGTACAGGAGGTCCGGGGAAGAAATCATCCGCCTGTGGAACCCCTGGGGCCACACAGAGTGGAGAGGGCGCTGGAGAGATGGGTATGGCTTCTGGAAAATTCTCCCGAAAGAGCACAGTGTTGAGGGGGCACCCTGCCTAGGAGGGCAGCATCACCCTCACTGGCTGTGAGCTTTTCCACAGGCCTGTCTGGTTCACATACCCCATGTGGCTGTCACTCTGTCTCATGGTCCCATGATACCATTTGCTGGGCTCCTGTTAGGCACCTATTGTATTCTCTGTACTAAGTACACTGTTTTAGCTGTGTGCTGTGTGTCTGACCTCTAGACAACCATGGTTTAAAGCTGTAAACCCATACACCCGAATTAGCCCAGAGGGTGGGAGGCAGGGCAGGAGCCAAGCCCACTTTAGGAAGAGAAAGAGGTAGAGAGCAGGAACCTCATCATTGGCTATGATCTCATGGGATTCTGGTACTAAGGAGGCCACATTGTCAAGACAGAGCAGGCTTCCTACACAAGGCGAGGTGGAGAAACTGAGGCAAGGATCTGGGTGACCTTCTACTCGGAAGACTTGATCATCACTCAGCGGACTCAATCATCAGTTCTGCCCTAGACTTCCACTGTGCTTGGTGCCTGGAACAGCACCTTGCCCACTGTGGGAGTCAATGCAAAGTGGCTCTCAGTGCCTCTGACCAGTCCCAGAAGGGGACAGCAGTGTGGTCAGGGCTTTCCCCAAGAAGCCAGGCTGGCCTCTACCCACTATCAGGGGGGTGCTGATGCTTGGTCCCCGCCCCTTTGTTGGCTGAGTAAAAGCAGGACAGAGGCATAGCCCCAGGTTGCCTGTTCTTAACATTCAGCAGAGCCCAGCCCACTGTGTGACTCTGCAAGGTCTGTGCTGAGCCATGGAAAAAGTCGTGGCTCAGTGACCACTGGCAGCATTGCCAGGAGAGGGACGTGGCCTGGAAGGAAATGAATGCATCCAAAACAATAGAAAGGCAGCACCCAGTGAGAATGAAAATCAATGCAGCGAGCATAGTGCATTTTAGAAGGGGACTCGGAGCCAACCAGTTTCAGACTGTGCAAACTGGCTGGCCTGATGCTTTGAGACAAGCTACAGAATAGCCACTCCAATTCCAGGTGAGCCCCAGCTGCTAGTATGTGCCTGACACATGTGGGCAATTTGCAAGTGGGACATGAATGTGTGATTGGGGTGAGAGGTAGGACAGAAAGGAAGAAAAAAGTGAAGGGAAGTAACAGCAAAGTGGATGGTGCAATGAACCTGGGCTGTGACCACAGAAGCCCGGAGAGTAGATTTAGGCTCCAGATAACACCTGCCCCTAGCCCTATCCCAAGAAGTACAGAGCCACGAATGTGGACAGAGGACTAACAAGCCAACCTGAAATAGAGGAAGATCAGTGGAGGAGTGTGGGCAGCTGCGATTGGAGTGCCCAGTGCCTACGTGGAGGCTTGGTTTGGTACCCCACACATGCGGACATTTGTGGAAGCTTCTGAATGGGGGACAGGTGTGTGCAGGCTGGGGTTTGGGAGTTGGTTGTAGGAGCTACAGCAGAATCCATTCTATAGGTCGCTGTCTGGCTGAGTGCTGCAGGCCACCTACTTCCACCGGAAGCCATGCTGGAAGGCAGCCATGGGCCCCGCAAATCACTATCTCCATGCAGGTGGTCGATTTCATTCCTGCTTTTTAGGAATGGAGATGGATGGTGAGAGCCGGCTGGTCTTACGCCAGCCGTAATTGAAATTTCACTCACACACACTTAAAGGCAAACTTGCATGAATCAATAGCATATTGATTTACACTACATTTATTTTCCCTTACACACTGCAGAAAATGTAATTATCGCTTAATTATAAAATTGCCATTTTACAATAACACATCTGACTGCCTCAGCCTGCAGCCGGAAGCCTGGGCAGTGGCCCTGCCTTGTTGTCCTGGCAGAGAGGTGACCCAAGTTCTCCATGCAAAGCCCTCTGGGAAAAAGAACTCATTACATTTTTATGCCTCTGGGCTGCTTGCCTATGAGTGTGGCTGCACTCTGAAAAGTGGGCCGAGAGAGGGGCAGCTCTCCTCTTCTGCCTGTGGTCTCCTCCTCTTTAGACCCTAGGATGAGCAACTGGAATAGATGCTCATCTGTGTCTATTTTCATAAACTTCAGAAAGTTTATGGAAAAAATACATCATTATGTAGTGCTTTTACTTTCATTTTTATCCATGAATGATCCCTCATACCTCATTCAGCACTAGGTAGTTAAGCAAGCACGCCAAAAATCCTTGTGTGCTGTGTCAAGGGCAAGTGTTAAACACCTGTGATGCTGTGATGGGATGATGGCAGCCACTAGAGCCCCTGGATCTCAACATGGAGCTCAGAGGGGGACAGCCTCAAAGAAGCCAGCACCAGGGTACAGACTGCTGAGATAGGAGTAGAGCAGGGGATTATTTGAGTTCAAAGACATGGCACTGACACTGCATGTGCAGCAGGTGGGTGGCACAGTGCCAAGAAAGTGATCCTTTAAGGGGGAAGCTGAGGAAGAGGTAGGGGGTTCCACAGCTGAGAGGAGAAGGAACATTGCAGGTTGGGAGAACATCATGGTAAAAGCATCATGGTGGGAAGAGAGGCATTTATAAGGAAATAGAAGCATCTCTTGTAGCCTGGGCATAGAATCCGGAGAAGAGGAGAGGAAGCAAAAGGTGGCTCAGGGAAGCCTGGAAAATTGGAAGCAGTCATGATTCTTCATAAGGGATCTGAATGTCACCCTGAGAGCCAGGAAATGACACGATCAACTTCATGTTTTAGAGCAATCCTTGTGATGTCGGTGTGGGGAGTGGATACGAAGGTGGGCAGGATGGAGTGTAGGGAGGGCAGCTGGAAGCCCAGGAGCTTGAGGAGGGTAGCCTGAACTAGGGTAACCACAGATGGGGTGGAGGTACATGGATGATGTAGAGTCGATCAGTGCATAATGTGTTGTGATTGGACATGGGAGACCTAAGTGACAGCTCCTCCTGTTCTCACTTGGGCAGTGGGGGTCGGGGGGAGTGGAGTGTGGGTTGGATCACAGATGCCTCTAGAATCCATCAGTGAGACTCAGGCTGGGACAGCTGTTTACAAGTCATCTGCATATAGAAAATGGCTGAATCCTGTAGGTGTTTACAAGTTATCTGCATATAGAGAATGGCTGAAACCTATCTGCTGCTGAATGACGCTTTCCACCCGCTCCACAGGAACTCATGGCAGCCTGGGCAAGATGGCCCTGCTGAGTAATACTGTTTGCAATCCAGTGCCTGGCAGAGGTCATGCTAATGGTCCCTGTCTCTGTGCTCAGGTCTCAGGAGTGGCAGGAAACCCTCGACCCGCGGAAAAGCCAGCTGTATGAGAACAAGCAAGATGGCGAGTTCTGGTATTTTCCATTCTTTATAAAAATCCCTTTTCCTTTCCCTTTATGAGGATGGAAATAACCTGTTTTGAGAGAATCTATTTTCTCTACAAAGACACTACTTTTGGTAGGAGATTTTCATGTCTTTTGCTTGTGTGTGAAAGTATCTCAGATATGGGTACCGGACATTCCATTATATTTGAATATGGAAATATTAGCACCTAAGATCTCGCAGCTAGGAGGCATGGTTGTCATGCCTCTGTCTTCTGTGCCAGCTTGATGGGACCCTGGCACTCTGCTGCCTCTCTGGTGTGGTATCCAGAGGAGTAGCAGGAGGCTTGCCATTCAGCTCTGAGTACAGTGATGCTGTCAGTGTCACCACTCAGAAGCCAGGCAGGGCTGGAAGGCTTGAAGCCACATTCTTGTGTCCTGCCCTGGAGGATAAGATGGATATTTCACTTGAGCAGGCGTGAGAAGTGTCCTGACTCTAATTAAGAATCTGGACAGATGTAAATCAGAAAGAAAAGTACTCCCCATATCCCATGTTTAACCACAGTGTGAAGTGCATTTGATTCTGACTAAGACATCAGCAGTGTATCTGGCAAGGGGCTGTAGGACAATTTTCTCAGCAGCATAGATGGCCTTTAAGCAGAGAGAACCTGGCAGTTGTCCTGATCAATAGAGGGCAGGGAACTGGGTCAGTGAGTTGAGGAGGTGCTGGTACCAGGTGGCATGCAGAATGCAGACCTGAGAACTTGACTTTCTCCTTATCTGGCTGGCCACTGAGCACAAGGGTTCTTGGCAGGGTGTGAGCCAGTGCCAGACTCAGGGCTTCAGATAGGACAATGGGAAGTCAAAGGATACAGTAACTGAGACAGGAAAAGGTACCGTAGAGTGGAGAGTTTATCCCAGGGACAGAAGCAGGGGCCATATACTGATGCTATCTGTTTTTTTAAACAGGATGTCATGTCAAGATTTCAAAGAAAAGTTCTCCTGCTTGTATATATGCAACAGATTTCCAATTGCCCTGGACCAGGGAAATACGTTCCATGACACATGGTCTCAAACAACATTTAAGAACCAAGTGATCCAAGGAAATGCTGCAGGTATTCGTAATATGGGTAATCGTGCAGCTAGCATGGGAACTCTCAGCCCTCAGCCTTGCCGTGGCTTCAGCCTCTTCTGGTCCTTGATTCTGAAGAGCCCCTGGAGCCTAGGGGACAGCAACTAGGAGGCATGGTTGTCATGCCTATATCTTCTCTGCCAGCATGTTGGCCTTCTGCTGCCTCTCTGCATCTCCAAAGCAACAGCTGGTAGGGAGTGGGCAGTGAGCCTCTAGTGAGTATCCCCCAGCCATCATGGGGTACCACTGTCCTGATCACTTTGCCATACCTGCAGGAAGAGGGACAGACTCTCTGCTCATCAGTAAACATCCAGGTAGTTGGAAGAGCTGTGGACAGAGCACAGCTTGTCTGCCCCTTGGACCCACATGTACTACCCAGACACCAGGAAGAGGGTGCACGAGTATTTGTGCCCCTGTTGGAATTGAGTAGATTGCAGAGGGAGGTGCCTATTGGCTCCCCTGAGATGAATTTTACTGACCATAAGTCTGGGAGAATCACAGTTGCTCACTGCCTGTGACACTGAGGAGTGAAACAACTCCCTGTAGAGACAAATATAAGTATACCTATGCATTGTCAATAAAGCAGCTGTGTGTGTGTGCATGGATGTGTATGTTGGCACCCAGACACACACGGTCATTCCCCTTATTGTCAGAATGGCTCTGTCATCAGGGATGCCCCTTTATTCCACTTCTAGGCTGTGGTGATCACTGTGCTGCTTAGAACCTCATCACCAGAAGGTCACTTTCGGGTGGCAAAAATATTAATTCTCCTTTCCCAAGTAGTTCCTATCTGCTTCTAGGGCCAAAGCCCTCATTCATAGATGTAATGCCTATTGGTGAACTAACCAAAATTACAGATTGTGGCCATTTTTAGGAGTATCTGACAAGGACATAATGAAAGGAACCCCATGATCAATGTTAGGTGTCATCTGATTCAGTCCACCCAGAAGAATGGCCAGGATGGTCCTCCAAATCTTCCCATTCCCCTATCAGAGCTTCCCAGGTGCGGCCAGACCTATGATAGGTGTTCATTCATCTCTGTCTAATATTCATTCCTGCATGCATTGAAATCCAGTGGTGTCCTCACCAGTCCTCTCTTCTTGCTCTGGCTGTGATGCACCTGCCTGGGAGGAAGAAAATCATTAACACAACAGCACAACATCTAGATCCCAGTCTCCATTGGTACTTCACTAACTGATGACATTTCAAGGCTCTGGCAGTTGCCACCCTTGCTTTAGCTCATGTATACCCAGGGGTTCTAAAAGCATTGTTGCCCAGTTGGAACTATATTCTACTACCCTCATTTGAGGTTTAGGAAATTAACTTGCCCTCCAACAAACTGGGCCCCAAATCCAGAGCTCATAATCCAACCACACAGGGATGTTTGAAATTGAACATGTACCCACCTGGGACCCCCAACTGTGTACTCTCAACTGGAGTGGAGCTGAGTTCAACGATATCTCTTTCCTGTACAGGAGAACCTCAGAGGCAAAAGCACTATTTCTTCTCTGTGCAAGAGGCCATGGGAGGCAACAATGTTGTTGTGTCCCTCACCATCAGTACACAAAGTTTGAGGGCAGAAGACAGTCAGTTTCCGCTACAATTCCAAGTGTTTAAGGTAAGGCAGCCTGCCTCAGTGGGGAGAGAAATTCTCTTTAGTGGGAAGAGAAATTCTTTGCAGGCTGGGAGATTTGACTGCACAACATCTTAAAAATAAAGCCCAAAATGGCTGTCACATTCTTCTGGTCCAGCTCTAAGTTTGCCAGACAACCTGGAATGCTACAGGACATTAGATTTTCCTTTGTTGATGATGGGACAAACTTCCAGTATCACTCATGGCATTTTCTGTTTTGTGGCAGAATTTAATGCCTGTTGTTCCAAAGGGGATCTTGTCTAAGACCAGTTCCTGTAGTGATTTCCGAGCCCGCCAGAGGCCTCCTGAAGCAGAATGGCCAAGGACAGAGCCTGGGAATCTGCCTTGTTAAGAGTGCCTGGGGCACTTTGTGTATCGTTGATTACTCTTTGGGAGGAATTTAAGAAAAAGAAATAAAAGCAAATCCATAAATGCAAGGGGTGCCCTTTTCTCTTATGTGCAGTGACAGCTGGGCTGTGAGAAGCTGCTCAGTCACCTGCCAAAGGACAAGTCTTGCTCCCTCCCTTTTTAGTGGCCCCAACCAACATCTTAGCTCCAACAGGGTCATCTGTCCCCAAGCATGCCAGCATGGATAGCCTGTGAGTGGGAAAGACAGGAATGTTCTTTTTATAATAGCCTTTAAAAGGAGGGAAAGCTATGAAAGGAACCCTGATACTTCAACTTCCTCCTTCTCCTCTCAACAATCCAGTACCTCAAAGAAAAATGGAGGGATTCTCAAACTGCTCATTCAGTGGCATCTCTGCCTTAGTGAGGGTCATTAAAAAGCTGCACCATCAAACACTGGGATTCCCCTCTGTGCACATTGAAGAAGCAGACCCAGGGAGGTGAGGACACAGAGTTAGTAGCAGAGCTGGGAGAGGAAGCCAGATGTCTGCCACACCTCAGTCAAGGACTCCAGCCACCTTGGTGATCAGCAGACATGTCAGTGACCTGCTTGATGACAGCATCTCTAGGCATAATTTCAGTCCTAATTCACATTAAGGCAAAATGTGCAGCTTTGGCCCTAGCTCATTTACAGTCGGCAGCATCCCTGGCTACTCTGCTCTTGGCTGAACAGTTTTACACATTGGCTTGGAAGGTCTCACAATAAGGCACATCACACTTACAAGCATGATCACAGTCACTATCTCAAAAGCCCAGCTACCCCTGCTTTTGTGCATGTAGAAGCCAAAGCTCAGAGAGCAACAACCATCTATCCGTGCTACAACTCGGAGGTAAGGGCAAGGTTTTACCTCATAACCTATGGTCCCAGATCCAGGGCTCTTAGCAGAACTCAGCCTCTTGCCTTTCTCTTGATGTCCAGGGCTCCAAGGAAAACTAATAACCTGTTTAAGAGAAAAGAGTGGATTGGGCTTTAAGAATTTGATGGAGAAGGAGTTGCTGGAGTTCAGCACAGTATCTTTCAGGTGCTCCAAACCTGCTTGGGCTATTGTAGGACATTTCTTAAGGATGCAGTGTGGCCTTTAAAAAAAAAAGGAAATGAAAAGATTTATTTATCTATTTATTTGAAGGTCAGAGTTATACACAGGAAAGATAAAGGAGAGAGAGAGAGATCAGGATTGAGATCTTGCATCTACTCTTCCACTCCCCAGCTGGCCACAATGACTAGGGCTAGACCAGGTCAAATATGAAGACCAAGAGCTTCTTCTGGGTCTCTTACATGGGTTGCAGGAGCCTGACTAGTTCTGTCTTGTTCTGCTTTCCCCAGATTATTAGCAGGTAGCAGGAAGCTGAATTGGATGTAGAACAGCTGGAACATAAACCGGTGCCCATATTGGATGATGGCATCACAGACTTGCCTGGAATGCCATGGGACAGCCCTGAAAAAGCTTTCATTTTCATTACTCAGTGGCATCTCAACATCCAGTCTAGTATGGGGAGGAGGCAGGAGCCACCTCCCCGCTGCGGCAGCCAAAGAGGCCAAGCAGTCCCTTTAGCCACACCTTGGAGCAAAAGGTGTGAACTTGTGACCATGACCTACTCTAAGCCTTAACCTACCATACATAATCTACCACTCAGAGCTTTTCCCTTTGAAGAACTAAATGAAAGGGAGGCAGGTGCTATGTTGCAATGGATTAAGCCACTGTCTACTGTGTTGGATTCTCATATTGGCACCAGTTCAAGTCCCTGCTGCTCCAATTCCAACTTAGCTTCCTGCTAATGCACCTGGGGAAACAGCAAAAGATGCCCCCAAATACTTGAGTTCCTGCACCCACAGGTGAGACCTGGATGAAGCTTTTGGCTTCTGGCTTCAGCCTGGCCATTGTTTCCATTTGGAGAGTAAGCCAGCAGATGGAAGCTCTGTCTCGATCTCTCACTCTCTCTCTGTATTTCTGCCTTTCTAATAAGTAAATAAATCTTTGTTTAAAAAAAAAAAAGGGAAACACATTAAATGCAAGAGGTAGGAACAGGTAAGAATTGTTTGTAGTAAATCTTTGAGCAGCAGCAGGAGCAAATCAGGGTGTTCCCTGTGGTGGGGGCCACCCGTGCAGCCATCTCATTTGGCTCCTGCCCACCTTTCAAGCAGAACATCCTTGGACACAAGGGCCAACATCTTTCCAAGACATGCTGCATGACCTCACCATTTGAGGCTGATTTCCACTGTTCTCAGCCAAATATCCCTCATGATTCAGATGCATTCTGAGAGGCTTCTCCTCTCCAGTATCCCTCAGCTCTCCAAAGTCTGATGACAAAAGAAAGCATTTGGGATTGGCAGGGAAGACATTGAGGCAGTTGTTCTTCCCATTCAGGTTAAAATAGGTGAGGGTTCCAGAAAAACCTAATTAAAAATAGGTCAGCCAACTCTTCCTTTCCATGATGAGTGGCAGAAGTCAGGGAGATTTCCCAGGACTGCTCTGATACATGGCCCCGGGTCTGCTGTTTACATGGTCATCATGAGCCCAGAGCTCTTACCCAACAGTTATTTGATTTGCTCTAGCCAGGCTATAATTACATCCATTTCTGAAATGTTAGCGAAGCCTCGCCTCTACTTTTCAGCTAGATTTGCATCTTTTCATCAAGATCTGATCTTGCAGAACCCTGATGCATTATACACTGAAGACAATGCCAGAAACACTTGCATTCAAATGAGCTCTGGAACACCAGCCAAGCTCTCAGCCTATTTGTGGCACAATGATGAGTTAGCCAAAATGGCACCTCTACCTTGGCATGGCTCTGACTATTATGGGAACTCTGCTCTGCTCTACGCCAAACCCAACATGAGTGGAGTCAGACCAGGGAGGGAGCAAGCAAGATGGTGAGCAAGTACAGGGTAGAGAAGCCATACAATCAATCCTTCCCTCCAACCTCCTGGGACTTTCCAGCCCCTCTCTCCTTACCCTTGGCCTCCAGAGAAAGCAGGGCAAGCAAAGTGGCCTGTTCACATGGGTGGGCTCTAGGATCAATATTGGAAGGGTACCAAATCCCAAGCCAGCTGGGAAAGACAGATTCATGGTAGCTGGACTGAATAACAAGGTAACATGGCTTAGTCTGTCCCCAACTCTATTGAGCTTTAGTTTCTGTGTTCAAAAACTAAAGAGCCCAGTGTCTGCTGGGAGGATTCTTGTGATTATCGCATCCTATACAGGTGCTTTGGAAATTGCAGAGTGGAAGTGGGATTGTATCCCTAGTGCTTCTTTCATGATAAAGAAAGACTGAAACATGGGTATGTCCCAGTCATACACATGCCTGCATTCCCATGAGTGTTAGAACATTCTAGAACAAAAACCACCAATTTATGAGAGTTTGATGAGAGGACAGTTGCCTTCTTATTAGAGCCCTCCAAGGTCAAGGAATTCACATGGGGTCCAAGTTTTGTCTTATTTCCAGACCCCATCAATGCTCTTGACATTACTATATATGGTAAGCATGCCTTGCTGAGCTGACATAGGAGCACCTTACTGCTGCCTGCAGCTGACTAGGTGTCCTTTCTTACAACTCCACACAGGAAATGACTAACTATCCTCATTCACTCCAGGAAGATGGGGGAACAGGCCACACAAGAGGGACACTTGACTTTACGTTTTGATCCACGTTCCTAAACCTCTTTCTTCTTCTTGCCCACAGGTTGACTCTCAGGTATGGCTCCCTGACACCCTTGTGGGGATTCTCACACTTTGGTCGCTGTCTGTTGGTAAAGTGCTCCGCCTCTTCCAACATCCCTGGCTTTCATGTGTTCCGTGGAAGTGGATCCAACCTTGCTGTGCCTTGCTGAATCTATTCTGAAAGATCAGGACTCTGGACAGGGTTGTGGGCGCCCAGTGGCTAGAGGAGGGCAGATGAGCACGGCCATGTTTGTTTTCTAGGTTGTAGGCTGCCCACTGCCTCCCAACGTGCTCACATACACGTGGAGAGGTTTGGTCCTCTGGAGAAAATCTGGTGCCATTGCTGCTTTTGCTAAAGGGTCCAAGTGAGCTAGGGTCCCATACCCACCAGGGTATGCGGGTTCCATCATCAGAGTCATCTTGGACTACTGAGATTCTGCTGTGTACCTGAGGACCTAGCTCTTGTCTCAACTGGGAGAGAGTTCTGGCCTCACCACCAACACAGCAACTCTTCCTTCTCCCTCCACCCCCAAGCAGAGCTCATAAATAATCATTTCATGCTGTGTAACCATTCTTGATGGAATCTTCATGCTCGGCTGTCATAGGGAAAATTTGTTTAGTAAGGGATTTTTATTATGGAATATGACTATGACACCCGGTAATGAGAACCATATTGTATTTACTGTTTTATCTCTACAAAAATATTGAAATAAAAGAAAAGTCATCAGGGACTATTATTTTCTAATGAGAAGAAATCTCAGGCCTCTGCTGGAGGTGAAACAGAGGAAGTGAAAATAATTCTCTGCCTATGCCATTGCAGTCCAGGAAGTTTAGTGGAGGAAAAAAAAAAAAACAACAAAAGCCAAGACACTCCAAGGCTCAACAAAACAAAACAAAATGTTTGTCATGCTGCTTGGCATTCATTGTAGGGTCAAGGGTCCACACAACAGAGCACCCTAAAACTCTGTTGTTGGAGAATTCAAGTGAAGGCTGCCTCCATTTTCTGTTCTGGTGACCAGAGAGGGATCTAGAGGGTGTTTGCATGTGTGTGTACATGTGTGTACGTGTTTGTATGTGTGTTGGGTTGTATATATGTGCATATGTACGTGTGTGTTGGTGTTGGGGTGTGTGTGTTGGGGTAGGCTTCTCTCCTAGTGGCTGGACAGAGCATTCTCATGATAACCCTGTGTCTTCCAGTTCCAGAAGTTCCGGGAGCGATTGCCGCCTGCCTTTTTTTCCCCATTCAGAATTGCTGCCCAAGGTATTGTTTGTGAAACCAAGTGCAACTTCACAAAGGCCTTCCAGCTGAGCCCTGGGGACTATGCAGTGGTCCTCTCTACACACCACAAACAAGTTGAGTTCCTGCTACGAATCTTCCAGAAAACACCCAACAGTGACAGGTACAGCATCCATGGGATGCCGAATGTTTGTTTCTGTTGAATTGTATGAAATCTTCTGTGTTCTGGGCACTGTGTTCAAACTGCACTGTGGCCGAGGGGGACGTGGCCGTGGGCCTTGAGAAGCCCACCATAAAGGGTGATAACAAGGCCTATGAATTGATGACTCCACAGCCAAGAGGGTGGGCCATTGCTAGGTGCAACATTCACTGCAAAGAGCAGACTGTAGTGTTCTAGGAAGTGGAATGTAGTGGCATAAAGAGGAAGATCATGTGGGCAGAGAAAGAAACCTTAAGTGAGAGGGAAGGAGGTGACAAGGGGCTTTTTAAAGAGTGAGAGGTATCCGCTGTGAGTATGGGAAGATGCTTTATGGTACATGTGTCAAGTTGTTTGGGACTGGGAGACAGTGAAAGGTGGGCTCAAAAGATCATGTCCAATCAAGTAGGATCTTGAATGCAAAGTCTCTGGATCAAAACTTGCATCAATAAGAGCTTGCTCTGCTGGGTACCTTATTGGGGCAAGAAGACATCACCAATAATCATGCTGGTCATGATGGTAGCGTGGGTGAGACCTTCTCAGCCTAGCATGCCAAGCAGCCAGCATACTGTCAGATAGTGGAGGAACATGACAGACCTCTGCCATGGAGCCAGTGGAGGTGACTTAAAGGTGTATCTGATTATGAAAGGAACCACTTACCAATGATCGGCAAACCAGTCCAGGTCCAAAGCTGGACACAAGACCACGGAGCTTGACTGCCTATGAACTGTCATAGCTCTCCATGTCACATCCAACAGTGCTGAAAACCCCATTCAAGTTGGCATGGACACCCAGTGCCACCCAGGTGTCCTTCACAGACAGGTGTCCTTTGCATAGTGAGCTGACCATTGTATCATCTGATCCCCTGTTCTTCTAGGCACTTAACTGGCAATTTCAGCTTCACGTCACTGAAGGTAGGTGTGTAACAAGGTTTGGCTAGTGAATGTCACTGGCCATATCCCTTCCCCTGGAGTTCCAATCTCCTTCATTGCCCCACCAGTGATTGATGAAAACATTACAGTGGGTCAAAGAGGGCTTCAAGGGGAGGAGGTAAGACTGAGAGCAGAGGTGCTGAGAGAGAAGGCCAGGCCCCCAGGGCCAGCCTGGACACAATATCTCCCTTCTACAACCTTTGATTTCTCATTCCCCTAAAGGATTTTTCCCACTGTCTGATCTTTATCTCAGATCTAGGTAGAGTGGTTGAGTCCTTGCTGGTGGCCTCCTTCCCCAAAAGCTTAATGTTGGTTGTTTCCCTTTTGGTCCAGGAGAGTCTCCCAGAAGATATCTCCCCAAGAGTCATTTTCCACAGATATGTTCAGCAGGTACAGTATTGCATTGGGGGCCTTATGTAGGACTGGGGCTGGAGAGAACCAAGGAAGAAAGACTTTCCTCAGGCCATATCAGAATTCAGAGAGGAAAAACAATGTGATGGATCATTCTATTAGCTTCTCTTTCTCTCCCCCTGGATTGTCTCCAGAACTTCTTTAACTACCAAACTAGAAGGGGCGTCCTCCTTGGAGTGGCATCCAGCTGGCCCATAGAACTTGCGAAAGGAGGGGATAATTATAGGAAGTGTTCAGGGAATGTGTCGCCTTTTGAATCTTTAAACAAGCAATTGGCACTATTCTTTGAAATCCTTCCCTCTCCCACTTGGCCACCTCCACTCCGACCTGGCGTCATTCTTTCTTGAGGCTGGCCAGGTGCAGAGAGTACCAACGGCACACTGCCTGCCAAGCCACCTATGGACACACGGGATTTGCCTAATGGTTTAATAAACTGTTATAAAGAACTCCCTGACTTGTCAGGGTAAGAGCAGCTGCCAAGGGCTCCACACGAGGGCCTTTACCATTATTAATCACATTGGCATGGGAAGTGGAAAGTGATGCAGTCACAGGCACCTGCTGACTTGGTGCCAGCAGAGGAAAAGGGCAAGGATTGTGAGTCCTGTCTTTTCGTTCCATGTGCTGGTAACAGGGTGCTGGTAACCTGAAGAGAGCCAGGGCCCAGCAAAGAGACACATGGAGAAATGGAAAATAGGAATGGGCACAGAGGGTGCTTGCTGTAGAGCACAGCTGAGTTTGGACCCCCAGGATTCAGCCCCCGCCTCCACCCAGCACTTTGAAAGATGGAATCCAGTGACTCAGAAGCACTTTGCCTGATACACTCCAAGGCCAGCCAGGATATTTGTCTCTAACCCTTGAGCTCCTGAAGGCAGAGATGACATCGCATGCATTCCTCGTCCCCAGCACTGAGCACTGTCCTTGATCAGGAAAGGTGCTCAATCATATCTGTGGAATTGAATTAAGACAGATGGGCTCCCCCAGAGCAGGTGCCCAGGCCAAGGTTAGCTCCCATGTGGTGGTCAGCAGGGCCTGATGAGAACACCTGATTCCATGCCTCTTTCAGGGCAGGTGGCAAATTTGCACATGTGTTCTGTGCACCTGCACCTTTAAAATAAATTACCATTTGTCAGATGATGACATGGTGCAAAGTCTCTGATCACCACTTTGCTACTCAGTAGCCAAATGCCTCTTCACATATTGTGACCATGGGGCCCCTGGGGTGATGAGGTGGAGACACAGGGGGGAAGGGACACAGCCCCTGTTCACCCCTCAACCCTGGGGGGTGAAAGGCACTCCTGGCCTAGTCCTGTTTGGTTCCATTCTGCTTAACCTGCAGACTGGCTTTGGGGCTGCAGCTTCCACAGCAAGTTTAAAGAAAAATGTTGATGCATGCATCCACCATGTCCCTTCTCCTCATCACTTATATGAGTTTAACTTTTAATTAATGAAATGTCATGTCCCTACCTCTCTTACAATCATACTAATGGTGCTGACACTTGAACTAGGTTCTGCCTGTTGGAAAAGGACCAGCTGGAATTCCTGGACAAGTATCCTACATTTAATCACCAAACACTACCAAGCACTAAAGACAAAGTACCATGCTAAACAAATGTTAAAATATTTATTTGTTTGACAGCCAGAGAGAAAAGAGCATTAGACAGGCCTTCCATCTGCTGATTCATTCCCCAAATTAGCTGCAATGACTGGAGCTAGAACTGGCCCAGATCAAAAACTTAGAACCCAGAATACTACCTGGGTCTCCCTTATAGGTGGCAGGGGCCCAAGCATTCTGTGCATTAGCAGGAAGCCTGAATCAGAAAAGGAGCAGCTGGGACTCCCAGCAGTGGTCCAATATGCCATGCCAGCATTGCAAGCTACAGCTTAACCTGCTTTGCCATAATGCTAAGCACCAGCTCTGGAGGCAAATCTGCAATCTGTTAGGAATTATTTAATTATTTAATTAAGCAATTATCATCTCTGCCCCACCTCTATTTCCTCCAGCACTTCTGGCTGGCTACAATGTGCAGAGTCCTGGGCAGAGGCCATCCTGGGTGGGGAATTTGGTGAAGGGAGCTGACATCGTCCATGCTCCGACACCACTTTTGATCCAGCGTGGGCTTTCACTTGGAGTCCCTCATTGATGAGCCAGTTGCTGTCAGTGTGAACAGTCAGGATTCAAAGTTCCTTTGAAGAGGAATGCAGTGGGTGTTGAGCACACCACACCAACTTCTTTCCCTAACCCGACAGGGTGATGTTGGGCAGGTGTGTGTGTGTGTGAGTCCTGGGCACAGATTTCCAACATTGGTGCAATGCTTTCCTTGGGTGTGGGAGTCTTCCTGGGAATTTTGCTTAAAGCTGAAACGCCCCATAAGGAAAGGCTTGTGGCAGTGGGGGTCGGGCAGGAGGCTGTTTCTCCTGCAGTTGTGACTGGTGAGAGCAACCCTGGCAATTGTAAGGGACAGCATGTCTGTCACTTGTTCTGGTTCTTGTCATCTGGTTCTAGAAGATGCCCAGAAGGTACCTACTTTTCCCTCCCCCAGAGCCACTGCACAAAGCATCTGCTGAGAAACTTCCTGCCAGGGCCAGCTCCCCAAGGAAAGGCTCTTCCACATGACAGTTGTCACAACCTCCCCTCAGCTCTTAGCAAGGTGTGAAAAGCAGCCACATGTACACATAGAGCAACCTTGCCACTGCAAAATCATCAAAGACATTGTCCATCAAATTGTTCAAGGCCCCAGGAAGAAACAAAGCGAGTGCAGTTAACTCCTCCAGACACCAGGCCGGGAGAGGTTTCTCTTCCCACAACCTCAATTGCTTCCTACGTTTAATCCCAGGAAAACCATGACAGCTCCCTTTTTGCTTCAACAGCTACTGGGAGACTGATGCTCAGAAATGTATGCCATTGCAGCCACTTCCTGCAGCCTTGATTTCTGGTATTTCTAATGCCTGTTGTCACAGTGTGCACACAGATACACATGCAGTAGTTGTATTGTCTTAGTATGTGTCTGCAGGCAGAGTGGGAGCCCACCTGCAAGGCTGAATGGATGCACCCAAAAGTCGTTATTCAAAGGACTCCCTGCACCAGCAGCAGCAGACAGCAGGCCCATAAGGGTCCCAGTCCAAGAATGGATGGAGTGAGACATGCAAGGCATGTGCCAAATGTCACAAGTGGTCAGCACCCCAGATGTTCAGGGGAAGGGATTTGGGGCCTGGGATAATCAGGGAAGGCTTCAGGAGACAAAGCCAGCCAGGTACATGGGGGAATGTGAGTGTTCAGAAGTCACAGTGCTCCTTCGGAGTCAGGCAGGTACACACCCTGGGTCCCAGCCCCGATCTGATGCCTGCCTTCTTCCGTTGTTTGTGCCAGGGATCAGAGATGGATGCTACCGACTTGCAGAGCTTCCTCAACCAGGAACTGCTGGAAGGTACGGTCATGCTAAGCACCTGCTAATCCCAGCCCCACCTTGCCTCTCTGCTCCCCTTCAAACACAAGTTCTGTCCTTCCTGTTCTCCCTCCAGGACCTACTGGGGATGTGTTCTCCTCGGATGAGTGCCGCAGCATCGTGGCTCTGATGGATGTATCCTTTGTTATCTTCTCCTCCCCCAGCCATCCCAGGGTCTTCTCCAGGGGCCTAAATAAGGCTCACCAAAGAGCTGGGGTCTCATGGATTCTCTGCGCTCATTAGTTTTCCAGACCAACCATAGCCACTGTGGCAAAGTTAACATCAATCTAGCATCTGCTCTGTGCCGAGTCACACTGATCCATCTGAGCATGTTTTCCTTTCAATTCTTGCTACAAACTCTGTGATGCCAGCTGCATTACCTCATCCTACAATAAGAAAAATAGGGCTCAGAGATGAGAGAGGGTGAGTGATTTGCCCAAATCACACAGTTGGGCAGAACTTGTGCTGCATTTGAGGTCAAAAGGTTCAGGTTTCCAAGTTTATATTCCACTCTTCTCCCGCACCTGCTCCTTATATCCCAGTGGACAGTATTTCCCTTTCTACCACTTCCTTTACCCCTGGATGGATCTTCCCTATGAAGCTGCTCAGTCAATACAGCAACCACATGCATGCATTTCTGCTAATATACTGCCTTGGCAGGTGCAGGAAGTGGGATGAAGTGGTTCACCCTTTCCATGGCTACAAGTGACAGAACCAAGCATCAAGCTCCCATTCACCTCCTCTGGCCTCCACTTTTACTTTCCAATGAGCTATTCTCCCCCTGCCTTCCTTATCTCCCCCACAGACAGGAGAAACGGGCTCCACAGGTAGCTACCCCCTGGCCTCTGCCATCCCACTCCCCACTGGCCTGTGTGTGCTGTCTCCTGAAAGACAGATCACCCAACCAGCACACTGTTTAACAAGGCTCGATTGGCAACACAGAGCCGGCCATTGTCGAACAAGAAACTTTGTGATGAAATCATAAATCAGGCCCTGTCTCTGCTGGCTGTGAGGACAGCAGGCAGACACCGAGCAATCCTCCAGCCTGGGGCAGGTATGCCGACAGCCATCATATGGGCTGGACCGAAGCAAAGCAAAAGGGTCCCCTCAGCCCTTCCTTCTACCCACATGTCAGCTCTCCTTCCTAGTTCTCAGAATTCTCCATCAGTTGTCCTTGAACTCATCTTGTGAGGTGACCAGGACTGGTTTTAATACAGTGTTTCCTGCACACACTAGTCTTGGGGTTCCAGAGTTACAACCCTTCAACTCCACCTGCTGAGGTTGTGTCCTGGCCTCCTTTCTTACCAGCTGATTAAAGTGATGCCAGCCTCCCTTTCTCAAGCCTGCCCTCTTCCAGTTGTCCATCTTTCTTTGGAAAGCAAATCTATGTCGGCTTGCTCTCAGACGCTTTTGGGTACCTGCTGATATGGGGCCATGTCCAGGTGAGGTCAGATCCACAGGTTTACCAGCTGATGGATGGAGCGTCACAGCCCTCCTGCTCTTTGCGCGCTGCACTGGTTAATTCTTAACTACCCTGGCAGCTGAAAGTGAATGGACGCCTCGACGAAGAGGAGTTTGGGAGACTGTGGATGCGCCTGGTCCACTACCAGGTATGAGCAGCTTCTCTGTAATGGACTCTCCTGGGCCCTCCAACTTGGCAAATATTTCCTGTGTCAGGGTAATCCTTGCAAAAATAGAGGTACTCTCTCATGTGCCCTCAGAGCTCACAGAGTTCACAACACAGGGTGGTACAGGCAGGGACAATGCAGGGAGGAGTCACCAGGCAGGATAGAGAAGGGACTCTGTCTAGGCCCGCTGGTCAGCCTGGGCCCCCTTCTGTCTCCCATGGTTCTTTCCGGCCTCCCCCAGCCCGCTAGCCCAGCCCAGCCTCTCCTAACCCGGCTGCTGGAAGAGCTGTCTGCAGCAGAGACATGGGCTGTGGCCTCCGCTGCTTGGGACAGAGACCAAACTCACTGCAACGGCGCCTGAGAGAGAAGTTTGCGGTCCAGGCAAACTCCCTTTGATTCACTCCACTCTGTTCTGAGGACCCCACCTGCACATACCTTATGATGCCCCTGCCCCTACTCTGACCCTGGCAGGTGCCCCCACCCCCACCTCTAGAGTCCAACCTCACACTTGTACCTTTTCCTAGCTAATGCCTCCAGCTCTCACTCCCGCCATGATCAGGGCAAGCCACATGGGTCATCTTACTTGTTGTACTTACAAACAACTGATGTTATTCTAAAAGCAGTGCCTGCTTGTTCACCACAGGAAGTTGGAAGACATGGGCAGGCATAACTACCTTCAAAACAGAAAATATAATCTTGCCAAACTGTTAACATCTCACAAATATTCTTCAGAATTGTTTCCTGTGTTGTGTAAATGTATAATCTGGTTTTTAAAAGTCAGAATCCCACTATGTCAATCTGCTAGCTACATCTCTAAATATTAGTTCTGAACTTTTTAAAAAGCAGAAGTCCTCCTGTGAGACTGTGCCAAGAGCGATTATCTGGTCTCTCTCCTGGGGCCATTTGATTTCTAATGAGTGTCAAGTATGGCCCCTCCCATCATTAAAGTCCTTTAGGGCAGGGGTCTCAGGCTCATCCTCCCCCCACTGCCTTCTAGACAATTCTGTGAGCAGGTATTCAACATTGCCTTATAATGACCTCACTCAGAATTACTCAGAGTGAAGGGCTGAGAGCTGAGAACCTAACTGACAGCACTCTGCATCTTTCTTACATTCACCAAAAGTTAACTGAGGCCAAGTGAAAGCTTGAGAGGCTGTTTTCCCTGTCACTGCCTCAGTCTCAAACCTGCATGGGGGCATCTCCTTGGAACAGCAGCTTCGGGGCACAATTGGAAGCCCCAGGTTCAGTCCTGCATACTCAGTGCCAGGCAAGTTGCTTGAGTGTACTTGAGTGCCTTTTCCTCCGCCCTCCTCCCTTCGGGCTGTTGCTGGTCAGGCTTGCAGGAGGATTAGGAAACGGCACAAAAGCCCCAGGGCAGGGGCAAGAGCCTCTGAGGGGAGTAAGCCAATGTGGAGACCACAACAGCGTTCTCACCTGCTTGCAGCGTGGGCCACGCGGCACTCCCTCCCGTGCAAGCCCTGCTTCTGAGCACTGAAGATTCGCTCACTTAGTTCTTACAACAAGCCACGAGGGAGGCACTGTAATTAGCCACGAGCTTCTGATTAGAGGACAAGGGTCTGGAGAGGTCTCTGCTGGGCTCAAGACTCACAGCTGTGAGAAGTTGAGGTGGGGCTTAAACCAGGGCAGCTTAGTTCTACACTAAACTAAAATCCATAGAGAGCTCCACTTTGCTCCAAGCCAGCACTGTGTGTAGGGGTGGGAAAGTGCACCCGGGGAGCCAGGACTGCACAGCTCCAGGAGGCGGTCTGCTTGCCAGGTGTGGCCATTCTCGCCTTCCCCTACCAGCAGCCCTGCTGCCTGCCTGCCTCTAATCTGACTCCTCCCAAGCTTCTCTTCAGGGGTGCTGCTCTTCTGGGGTCTGCCACAATGCTGACCCCCCTCTGGGCACTCAGATGAGCTTCTTGTTTCTTGTTCCATGTCAGCATGTTTTCCAGAAACTCCAGAAGGGTTCTGGGGTGCTCCTGAGCTTGGACTTATGGAAGGCCATGGAGAGCACAGGTAATGTGGCAGTTAATGGGGCTGGGGGGCTTTCAGTTACAAGGTCGGGGGCTGTGGGGAGCAGGGAGTAATGTGTGCACATACTGGGGCTGTCAGGAGGGAGCAGGGAGCTGTAGCTTGTTCATTCATCCTGTGAAGTGTACTCTGGCCTCGGTGAGCTTCCACACTCCTCCCACCCAAACCTGTGTTCTTCCTTGCTGGTCAAATTTCCCTACTACAGCTCTGACTGTAAGAAAGAAGGCCTACCCTAACAGGAATGGCACTCACCTTGGCAGAAGCTCGCCTCTCTCTGTCTGGGCCATTCATTGGGGTTAAATACTCAGAAGCAGGCTCCTCATCTTTCTTCTTTTCCTTTACTGAAGGCTTAGGACTAAGTTAAAATGAATGGCATCCACCTGCTCTGAGCAGGCAGCCATGTCCTGTCCTGGGATAATGAGAGCAATACTGTGGGGTGTAGGAGTTCCTAGTTCACCATGAGCTCCCAGCTGATTGTCTCCAATACCCTGAAACCTGGGGTGGGAGGGAGGGCAGGAACCATCCATCACCTGTAAATTGGCTGCCTCAGGGTGAGCCCAAGAAGAAAGTCCCTAGAATTCTCTGAATTCTCTGAACTGGCCTGGAGATAGGGTAGGAAAAGCTGGTCCCCCTATGTGCACACAGAGCCTCCCTTCAATTCGTCACAACCCTGGACGCCAGTGCTTGAAGCTGAGCGTGCAGCTGAATTCCCTGCAGGGCTCATTAAAACGCGTGCAGCTGAGCCTCCTGCAGAGCTGGGGTGGGTGGGGCTGGAGCGACTGAGCCTTTGCTTCTCTAACAAGCTCCCCAGTGGTGCACCTGCCTCTACTGAGGTAGCCATACTTGGAAAACCACTGAAGAGTCAAATAGAGAAGACATCAGGAATGGAGACCTCACTGCTGACTCCAGAATCATAAAAAGGGAGAAAAGTACAAGTTCAAGTGCCAGTCAAAAAGCTTCGTGGCCAGGCAGGTCACGGTCACTTAAGGGGGTGATTTCTGAAGGTAGTGAGCTGGGGAGTATGTACTCTGTGCCTAGAGGCATTCAAGTTCACATCTTTCTAGCTCTGCTGGACAGACCAGGCGTGCCTCCACCAGCTTTAGCTCCTGGAGCATAGTGTCGCCTTGTACGATCCCCCTTGCTCGCCTGAGCTTGCAGACCCAACCAATTGGTCAGTCTTCAAGAAGTGCAAAGCGGCCAGGCCACAGCAAGCCAGGAGTTTCTCTCCTGCCCACCTGAGGCCATCTGCCGAATCTTGTCTCCCCTCCAAGGGCCAGCCTCTCTCGGCATGAGCAACCCAGAACTGAATCTCCCTCCTCTGGTGACCACTGCCACCTGACCCAGCAGCTCCCATTCCTGGAAGCCCAGGCACTGGCATGGATTGGGAGGGAAGTTGTTCTGCAAGGCAAGCAGCAGGGAGAAGCCAGGCAGAGGCAGGGCTAGGAACAGGCCCCAGTGCCCTGACAGCTTGCATGTTGCGTGGAAATGCTCCGAGTGCTCTGATGGTGGCTGCATCCCCAAGGGTCAGCATCCTGAGTACCCTGACTGTTTTCTGGCCAGACTCCAGCACCAAGGCCTGCCAGCCACCAGGGAGGGAAGACAGCACTGGACAGATACTGAACGGGATTGGTGGGGAAAGAGGGAAGAGTGGAGAGGCTGCGGGGCACTCAGGGGCTCCCCCCACTCACCAGTTCACCCATGTGGCCCCAGACTTCCTTGTAGGGATCTCCGTCGATGAGGAGCTGCTGTATCGCATGAGCCTGCGGTACAGCGACAGCTCAGGCCGTGTCAGCTTCCCCAGCCTTGTCTGCTTCCTGATGCGCCTGGAAACCATGGCAAGTGAGTAGTGGCCCTAGGGTATGGGCTGCAGACCTTGGCAGTGACCAAAAACTATGGAATAGGGCCAGAGAGTACACTTCTGACCCAGCCTTGGACAGGCCCTCTGGGGGGTGGGGGAGGAGGGTCGTTACCCCTGGTCCAAGAGGATATAGCCTCTGAGCTCTGAGGCCACTGACAGTGTCACTAGTGGCCCTGGCCTTGAGGCTGCCTCCCTTACTCCCCAGTGCGTTTCCCTGTCTCTGTACCTCCCTGTGCCCTATTAGAGTGTGTTGATAATTGCACTGGCTGTGACAGCTCTGGTCTCTGCTGAGGAACACCCTTCCCTCCCCTGACCATGTCTGGGTGGGAGCTATCCCCAGACTCAGAGTTGGAGGGTGTGGCACCTTGTAGCGGTCTAAGCTTTTGTGTTGACTGAAGCCCCAGGAGGCCCTTCTGCAAACACACAGCTCTGAGTAGCCACTTGATCATGACCAAGAACAAAGCCCAGCATGAGCCAGAGAGGACTCGCCCCAGCCTCACTTCAAGGAGACCTCAGGATATGAGGGAGCACCCCTTGCCATGCTAAGAGAGGAATGTTAACTCCCATCAAGCTGAGTGTGGGCTTGGGAAAGCCCAGGGGGCCAGGCGGCAGAGGAGAGCCCTGGGCTGCCCTCCATACACAGCAGGACGCAAAGCAGAAGTGGACAGCAAGTCAGCCCCACCCCATGGAGGAAGGCCATGTGGCCTCCATCCCTGGGCCCTGCCCTGATTAGCCCCCATCCCTCCGTCTCCCAGTCTGCTAACACCTTTGCTACTTTGTCCTAGAGATTTTCCGTAATCTGTCCAAGGATGGAAAAAGACTCTGCCTGACAGAAATGGAGGTGAGATGTTGCCGCAATCCCCAGCCACCTCTCTCCTGGTCGGTTTCCTGGGGCAGCTTTCTCCCAGAGGATGCTGATCCATCCGTCAGAAGCAGCCAGGCTTGCCGGCCCCCCTGCCTCCAATTACTGCCTTTATATATTGCCGGCTGCCAGGCTGCTGCAGGATCTTGGCAGACAGATTTTATTTTTTTCCAATAGCTTAATAAAGCAGAGGATTATGTGGGAGTCATAAATCCAAGGGGGAAATGCGGGAACAGCCGCGGAGCTCACTGTACATTAAACTGACTCCCATTGAATTGTGGAGCCTCCGCACCGGCCGGCTGGTTGACCTCAAGTGTACCTGTCAATACCTGACTCATCGGGGAGGAGCAAAAGGTGCATGCCACAGAGGGCTCTGAGACCCTCCTACTTGGCTTGGAACTCGCTAGAAAGGGGTGATGACACTGGGCTGAGGTCTGCCCTGGGAGGAGGGTTGCATGCTCTGCCCTGTGCTGGGCTAACGAGACGAAGGTCATGATTCTAACAGTGGCACTTGTTTCCCAGTGGATGAACCTGGTCATGTATAACTGAGGAGAGAAGACAGCCAGTGCAGGTAAGACATGGGGGTATCCAGATCGGCGCTTCCTCCCAGGTACCGGTCCCCTTCTCCTCCAGGGTAGGCAGTGCCCAGCTGCCCAGGGCTCCTGACCTTCATCACCAGTTCTGGAGTTTTCTCTCATGCTGTTGCTAGAAGGGACATTAATGGGAAGAAGTGGCCAGAGAGTCATGAGTGAAGAGTTTTGAAACTAATTCAGAACTCCAGAGACCAAGAGGCATCCCTCACTTTGGGCAGGGCAGGAGAGCTGGTGTGGGTAGAATGGTGTACACCAGTGGGAGTGGTCGGGTCCAGTCTCAGCTCCTCTGTGGCCCCACTATAGGATGAGCTGACTGTATCTATTGGCATCTGTGTGTGTTTGTCTGGTTAGTATGGGTGTGCTCCAGAGTTTGTTCTCATTGGATAGGCCCAATGTTTACATAGGCCCGCACCTGCAGAGGCACAGCCTTGGTGGATTGTTCCAAATTCTTCCTGATTTAGGAGCTCAGTGGTGTGTACACTCTCTTGGACCTCTCCAAGTGGTGGATGTTCCTCCACCAAGGAGCTCTGTACCCATGCCTCTAGCGCCACCCTCGGAGCCCCCGTGGAACTACAGGCTATGCTACCTTAGGCACCACCAACCCTGGAAGCCTGGCTTCCTGAGTTGTAACTGTGGATTCTCACCTGGGACCCATCGGTGACCATTGTCTCTGTGAATGTGGACCATCTCCATCCACAGCCCTGTGATTGACACCCTCTGAAATACCAATGTATTCATGAACAGCATTTGTTTACTCTCCCAATCATGTGCTTTAAGATTCACTTACCTATTTGTAAATAGATGACAGAGAGGTAGAGAGAGGGAGGGAGATAGAAACAGATCTGCCCTCTGTTGGTTCTCTGCCCAGATGTCCTCAAAAGCCGAGGTGGGCTGAGCTGCAGCCAGGAGCCTGGAACCGCAGTCTTCCACGTGGATGGCAGGGACCCAAGCCCATGGGCTGCGATTCATTGACTCCCCTGGGGTGCATTTTCAGGGGGCTGGATCTGGAAGCAGAGATGCCAGAACTCACACCAGCACTCTGGATAGGAGATGCTGGCATTGCCAATGGCATCTCAACCCACTGGGCCATGAATTGTGCTTTGAAATCTACTTCACCCTCTCCCCAACAAAGCGATACTCTAGCAAAAACACTTCCTGGTCCCTCACATGTTAATACACATGTCAGAGATCCCAGTTAACTTAGTTGAACTTTACTTTCCTAGATTCTTCTTTTACCCCTTCTTTACAAGACACTTAACCACTTCTGATTTTTTTTTGTGCCTATTAAAATCTGCATGATTTATAGAATCAAGAATGATTCCTCAATTATTATCTTTATTTTGGCATGCAGGTCAAATCTATTTTTTTAAATAAAGGGGCCCAATGCCATCTTAATTTTGCCACCTTTCCTCTTCTGAAGTTTGTCTCAGAAGTAACAGGCATGTTTGCTCATGCCTCTCCTCTCAGAGGGCCAGCATCTTTAGGCACAGCCTCTGACTTTACCTACTGTTGTACATTCTTTCATCCTTGGCTCATGGACAACTTGACACGATTGGAAGCAGGAGAGTGAGGAAACTCTGCCGGCCACCTTCATCTGTAGCCACTTTCCCCCTTTCCCTGTTAGCGCATCCCTGGAGAGGTGTTCTGCATCGTCCCTTCCACTTTCCCAAGGAGCTGATTGGACCAGCTGTCTTCTCTCTGTCTTCTTAATACTAAGCCCATTTCTCTCTCTTCTGGAGTCTTCCAATTCCCATTTGAATATGTCTACTTCCCAAATTTCTTCAAACTCGTATTATCCTGTGGCTACAACTCCACCTTCTGTCTCTCATTATAAACAAACTTGACTGCAGGGGCCCATTGTCTTGTTCTCACCTCCCACTGCCCCTCGGATCTACTTCAGTTTGAAATTCTTAAATGATAATATCATCACCACCACCATCATCTCTCTCTCTTTCTCTGATTTTTGCATAGGCTCCCAGTCTGAATTTCATAGCCCTGAAATCAATTCTGGCACCCAGAGTACAAATTTAAGGCTGCAAGTCCAATCATTGTATTTCTCAGGTTAAAGCCCTTATGCGTCCCCTGCCCCAATCACCATGTATTACAAATCTGGATCTTTAATGTGGACCACAGTGTCCAGTAGCTTCTCCTACCTGCCTGTCCCTCATGCTGCACCTGCACCGTTCCTTCCTCACCCCCCCAGCACGTGTCTGTTTCCTTCTGATGTCCGTGCTTTGCTAGCCCCAGGCCTTTGACCTCACCCTCTGCTCTGCCCTGGGTTTTACTCTTCAGATCTTTGATGCTCCACGTCTCAGCATGTTTAACCCATGCCCAATCATCATACTCCACACAGCCCTCTCCATGTGTGTGTTTAGGTTTATTGAAATAGTAATCATATTCCATTGAATGTGAATCATTTGCCCATTTAACGGTTGAGATTAATGGGGTTTATTCTAGTCATTGAGTTGTACACCTGGCTCTACAGCATCATTTTAGAACTTTATCACCACAAATAGTATGAGATCATTTAAAATGCTCATAGCTGTCTGCTTCCCCATCTTCACTCTACTCTCCAGTCTTAGACAACCACCAACCTACCTTATGAGTCTATAAATTACCCTCTTCTGGGCATTGCCTATAGGTAGAATCATGTAATATATGGTCCTTTGTGAATGATTTCTTTCACTTCACATGTCTTTCTAGGTTCATCCATGGTATTATATGGTGTAAATACTTCATTTCCTTTTAGTATCAAATGACACTTCATTGGGAATATATAATATTTTACTTACCCATTAACTGGTGACCATCTACCTCATAGCTGCTTATGTTTCATAATCCCAGTGTGTGTCAGTTTTGGGGGGCAGATGTATGCTTTCCTTTTAGCTGGGCATATATGCGAGTGGGATTGCTCCATCATAAGGTACCTTGAAATATTTTGAGCAATTTGTTTGGAGAACAGCTATACCATCTGACATTTCCAACGCCAGTGGGTGAGGTTCCAGTTTCTTTGTGCTGTTGCCAACATTTGTTACTCTTTGTCTTTCTGTTATAGCCATCCTGGAAAATGCCAACTGGTACTTCACTGTGGGCTGGATTTGGATTTCCATAATACTTATCGACTATTTTTGCATCATCTTAAGACAGATATCGCATCCCTTGTCCGTATTTTTATTTGGGTTATGCATCTCTTCACTAGTGAGCTCTGGTTTTTTTAAAGTTCTAGGTCCTAGTTCCTTATCATCCAGGGCATTTACAGTTTTATTTTCTCATCCTGCATGTTGTCTTTGCAGTCCTTGGGTGAGATCATATGTAGTTCATGACTTTGTGATTTTGGTGAAGGCCAACTAGTCTTAAAAAAAAAAACACCCTCACTTGTGCTTTTAGTATCATGTCTAAGAATTTTACCCTAATACATTGTTGCTGGGGATAAAAATTGTCACAAAAGTTACAAAAAATAGAATGAACATTCCTCAGAAAATTAAAAATAAATCTATCATATGAGCTAGCTAACCCACTCCTGGGAGTATTTCCAAAGGGAATGAAGTCAGCATATGAGGTACCTGCACCCACATGTTTATACAGCTCAACTCACAGTAGCAAGGATGTGAAATAAAGATACAGTGCCAGCCAACATATTCGTGAACCGAAGACTGGATAAAGAAATCATGGTATATGCACACTATGGAATATGACTCAGCCATGAAAATGGATGAAATCCTGACACTTGCAACAAAATGGACAGAACTGGAGATTATTGCGCTCAGTGAGATAAGCCAGACTCAGAAAGACAAATAGCATGTTGTTCTGTTATTTGTGGTGGTTCATGTACACAGAGTATAAAATTGTATAGATACTGTATCTTCGTGTATTCATCATCTTGTATTCAGGTACTCAATTATCCTAGCACTGCTTTTCTCCCCTTTTTCTTGCCTTGGCACTCCTTTAAAATATAAATACATCACAATGTGAGGATGTTGTCTGTACTTACTCTAGTACCACACTGTATTGCTTACAATGATTTTCTAGTAAGTTTCAAGGTCAGAGTGTGAGGCATTCAGTCTTTATTTTTCAAGCTTATTTTGGCAACTCTGGGTTCCTTGTGTTCACATACATGTATCGTTTTTAGGATCAACGTGTCAAATGCTGCAGAAATGTCAGGGGATGAGGTTTTGATAGATCACATTTTCTATGAATTAGTGTGAAAACTGTTTACAATTTAAAAGCCTTTTTGATCCATGAACATTGGATGTCCCTCCATTTTGAAAAAAATCTTCTGTTTAGGTTTTGATGATGATTTTAGTTTTCAGTGTGGAAGTCGTTTCTTGAATTTATTCCTGAGAATTGTGCTGCTTTTATGCTGTTATAAATTGTTTCCTTAATTTCATTTTCAGTTTACTCATTGCTAGTGTGTAGAAATAAAATTGATTTTTTTTCATACTGATGTTATAGCCTGTAACATTACTTATTAGTTGAAATATTCTTTATTGGATTCCTTAGAATTCTATATATACAAACTCATGCCATCTGCAAAAGGCTCTAATTTTATTTCATCTTGTCCTATTTCAATGTCTTTGCTCTCTTTCTCTGCTCTTATTAGCTATGGATGATGTCAACTGAGTGGGCTGGATAACCACTCTCCATGGAGGACCTGCCCTTCCGGTTGCAGTCGGATGTATATGTATATGTAAATGTATATGTAAATCATATAGTTATAAGAATTTACATATTCAAAATATATGAACCTATATGTCATATATGAGATATAATATATAAATATATTTTTTAGAAATGTAAACATTTATATATATATATACACACACACATAATGATTTTACTTACTCTGCTGTTTTTCTCTTTCCTTCCCTTTAGAGGTCATGAGGATCATATGGTTAAAATCATCCTGTTACTGTTGCTGCCTTATCATTGTCCAGCTTCTCTTACAAATGCCAATGT